GAGTGCTGTGTGTGCCTTGTCGTTGATCAGGCTGCAGTGACTCGGGGCAGTGTGGAGAAGAGCTGGCTGTGCCCTGCTGAGCGCGGTTCTGTCGTCAGATCGTCTCGTCGTAGGCTGACACCATGGCAATCTAGCCTGGGCAACAGAGTGAGACTCTGTCTCAAAAAAAATAAAAAGGATAAAAAACTTTCTGAGACGAAAATTGTTGCCAATAGGGCTGAAAAAGAAGTTCTTCAGAGAAAAGGAAAATGATATTGGTCAGAAACTCAGGTCTATATAAAGAAAGGAAGATCATTAGAGAATGAATGTGATGGTAAAATAAAAACTTATTTTCTTATTCTTAATTGATTTAACAGATAATATTGAGCTCAAAATGATAATAGCAATGATGTATTTGATGATATATATCAATATATATAGATATAATATGGGATTAGAAATATTTTGTTATTCTAAGGGGCTTGCACCACCCATGAAAAGGTATGGTGTTTGTTATTGGAAAGTGAACTTGGATTGATTGTAAACACACATTACAAACTCTAAGAAAACCACTGAAAAAAATTGTTTTAAGAAGTGTGAATTGATATTCTAAGGAAGGGAAAAAATGGAATCATATAAAATGCTCAGTTAAAACCACCAAAAGGCAGAGAAGGTGTGGAAGACAGAACAGGAACAAAGAACAAAGGCAACAAATAGAAACAGCAACAAACACAGTAGATGTTAATCCAGCTCTACCAATAATCACTTTGAACAACAATGGTCCGAATATCCCAAATGAAAGACAGAGATTGTCAGAGTGGATGAAAACAAGACCAAACTATATGTTATCTACAAGACACACATTTTAAATAGAAAGACACATACAGTTTAACAGTAAATGGATAGAGAAAGATATACCATGCTAACACCAATCCAAAAAAGTGGGAGTAGCTCTGTTAATTTCAGACAGAGCAGACTTCAGAGCAGGGAAAGTTATCAGGGATAAAGAGAGTGTTACACAATGATAAAGAATCAATACTCCAAAAAGACATGACAACTTTTAACATGTATGCATTAACAATAGAAAGTCAAGGCCGGGCACAGTGGCATACACCTGTAATCCTAGCACTCTGGGTAGGCCAAGGTGGAAGAATCACTTGAGCTCAGGAGTTCAAGACCAGCCCGAACAAGAGCGAGACCCCATCTCTACTAAAAACAGAAAAATTAGGGCCTGGCATGGTGGCTCACGCCTGTAATCCTAGCACTCTGGGAGGCCGAGGTGGGATGATTGCTCGAGGTGAGGAGTTCAAAATCAGCCTGAGCAAGAGTGAGACTCCATCTCTACTAAAAATAGAAAGAAATTAATTGGCCAACTAAAATATATAGAAAAAATTAGCCTGGCATGGTGGCACATGCCTGTAGTCCCAGCTACTTGGAAGGCTGAGACAGAAGGATTGCTTGAGGCCAGGAGTTTGAGGTTGCTGTGAGCTAGGCTGACGCCACAGCACTCTAGCCTGGGCAACAAAGTGAGACTGTCAAAAAAAAAAAAAAAAGAAAAATTAGACAGCATGGTGCAGGTGACTGTAGTTCCAGCTCCTCAAGACACTAAGGCAGGAGAATCACTTGAGCCCAGGCATCTGAGGTGGCTGTGAGCTAGGCTGATGCCACAGCACTCTAGCCATTTGACAGAGTGACGACTCTGGTCTCAAAAAAACAAACAAAAAGCCAGAAAGTCAAATCACAAGCAAAACTAGTAGAACTGCAGGAGAATTAGATGATCACAATATATTGAAGATATTCAATGCTCTCTATCAACGATCGACAGAACAGCAGGAAAGAAATCATAAGAATATAGCTGAACTCCAACACCACCACCAAGCCAATCAGTGGGTTAAAGGACAGCTATAGACCATAGTCATCCGATAGTAGCAGTATCACACATTCTCTCAAGCTCACAGGAGCGTTTCCAACATTCAAACAGGGGGAACACACCACCACATTCTTGGGCCATAAAACACACTTAACAGACTTTAAAGAATAAAATAACATAAAGTATGTGGCAGACCACACAATCAAACTAAAATCAGCTAACCAGAATGATTAGCTAAGAAATCCCAACAATTGGGTTTAAACAACACATCTCAAATAACATCAGTTTGAACAAAATCCAAAGAAATAAGTAACATTTAAAACGGACAAAAACCAGGCAGACTAACTAAAAAAAAATCACACTTAACAAAATTGGGGGAGCACACACAAGCAGTGCTAACACACATTCATAGCATTGGATCAGTATCTGAAAAAAAAGACATAAAATACAATCAACAAGCTTCCACTCAAAACTAGAATAAAGAAGCAATAAGCCAAATAACTAGATTAGGCATCATGCATAGTTATTTCTCCATTGTCTCTTCAATTAATCTAACATATATGATCTTCCTAATTTTAAAAAATTGATACAAGAAGTTAAAAATTTCACTAAACTTTTTCATTGTTCTGTTACCGTAGATATTATCTGGTCCAATCAAGAGCATAAGACTATACAGTAATTAAACAGAAGAGTCTTAACATAAGAAAGGTTATGCCTGGTGCGGTGCTCCAAACCTTTAACCTATCACTCGGAGCAATGCGGAGGATCATCTGAGCTCAAAGTTCAACCACCAAGCGAGCAACGAGCGAACTTCAAAATCCTACAAAACATGAAGGTAAAACTGACAAATAATAAAAACTTTAGCCGCCATGGCAGTGCCGTAAGTCCCAGCACATTGGAGCTGAGCAAGAGCATCTTATGAGCCCAGAGTTGAGTCGCGGACAGCTGCAATGACTCTAGCCCAGGCAACAAGTGAGACTCGTCCAAAAAAAAAAAAAAATAAAACTATACAGACAATGAAACTGCAAAAGTAAGACCGAAACAGACCTAACAGGTAGCCTAAGTCAAGGAAACAACCTGAAGCAAACTCAGAAAAGGCCCTCCCAAGCTGGCTTACATTTGTGGAATTTTTGCTGTTGCCCACCGAGCTGTCCAGCGTGACTCCAGCAGGAAACCCCCTGACAGCAGGCCGGCCCTGCACGACCTGGTTTGGTTTCAATGAACCAGGAGTGGTCATAACAGGCCCACCCACTGCGCGCAGCGCACTGAGCAGGAGGACAGAGGCGCCCCTTACCGTCCCTGTGAAAATGACCCCAGCTTGGCTGCCCTCCTGAGACACGCTCACCGGCTTCCACTGCGCAGAACACGGACACAGACCATAAGCTCGCCGCGGATGTGCCGTGAGTGAGACTATTGACCCCAGACTTCCAAAGTCTTTACTGCGCTAGCAACAGGGCAAATCTCAGACTGTTTCAGTTCTGACACTGTCCCACGGACACAGGTGACATCCAACGGCTGGCGAAGTGCACAGAAGGGCGCGGTCCTCGCGTGGTTAGGCCTGCCAGAAACCTCTGAGAAACAGGACCCCAGCAACGAGCCGGGTGACTGCACAGGGAGTTGGGGCTGAATTCGGAGTGTCCAGTGCCGTGTTAGAGAACCAGGCAAGTGCCTCTGGCCCACCAACGATTAGTCACCAACCTGCCCTTTCCACAGTGGCTGGAGCCCAGCACCACCAGACACCAAGCCAACAGTACGCACCCGCGGCAGGCGTCGAAGCGACAGCTCCACAGGACAAGGTAGCCCATCCAGGAGGCTGGCACAGCCTCCTCCACGAGCCCTTCCGTCACCCAATTTCCCACACCTCTCTTCCAAGGCAGCTCCAAATTACCGCAGAATCACACTCCTGCCCCTTCCCCTAGACGCCAGGGGCAAACCAAGTTTGCTCAACAGAGTTCTGTGCACCCTCCGACACCTGTACCCAGGCTCAAGTTCGATTCCTGACAGTCACCGGGATGTAAGTGCAGCCCAATGTGCCTCGGAAAGGGAGGAGCCGTGACAGATCACGTGCAAAGGATCTGAACACCGCCCTCAGTTTATGCATCCTCAGATTCACCCCATGAGGGTTCGAGGCTCCATTCCTGGTAGGTGTTCGCCACCCTGCTTTATGCCAGATCGTGTGACGCCCCGGCCCCACGGGCCTCGCTCGTAATCCACGGTGGAGCCCACGCCAAAGCTTCCCAAAGCGAGAACTCCATCTAGGATGAGACTGGTAAGCTGCCAGAGAGGGCATAAGCTTCCCAAACCTCAAGCCCTCCTGGGTTCGGGCCGCCATGGCCTCGCTAATGTGCCCAGACACTGGAACGTCACTTGTATCCTACTTGCTGCAAGTCACAGCGTCTCTCAACGAACCAAACCCTCAACGCCTTCCCAGGCATGGTGTGTCACGGCGCACCACAGCACGCCTGCTCTGGTCCAGGAGCCTTTAAGATAAACTGCCGGCGGAGGCTGAAGTAGCTACTGGAACCTATGATCCTGTTCGTCCAAAGCCCCGACGCCCAACCAAACGTTCTGCTCTTTCTCATGGCAGATCGCAAAAGCACAGCAACTAGCCTTCCACGGGAAGAAGGAGCCGTCCACCATACTCAATGACCATACTGAACCATTCACTGGGTGCAGGCCCAGTGAATTGGCTGGAGCTTAGCTTCCACCTTCTAATTAGCACATGCCCCTAAAGTGTCCAGAGCACTTGCTATCCCGTTCAAACCCAGTCGTCAACAGACTGAGGGTGATTCTGCGCGAACCGGGTTGCGAGCTCGCGACGGTCTACCCACCGCCGGAAACGGACGCGCCATCCGCGCGCCCGCGAGCGTCTCTGTCCAGCGCCCCGGGAAGCAACCGCTCCCCGCCGTCTGCAAGGGTGGCAGAAGAGCCTCGCGTCAGCTCAGTCCGCCACCGGGGCCAGGCTTGCCGGTCTCCCTGCGGCAGAGACGCTCCGCACAGCCTTCGCGCCCCCACTCGAGGACCGGTTCTCCACCGTCCGCGCGACCGTCCGCAGCCCGGCGCTAAGCGCCGCTGAAATGCTCGCCGCCGCTGGTGCGTCAGCTCCGGCCGCGACGTCTGACCGACGTTACCCCTCGCTCAGACGCTGCAGCTTCCCGGTAGGAAGGGGCTTTCTCGCCAGGACTCCCGCCCGGCTTCTCCTGCCACAACGGTCCTCACCCCACAGTGCAGCACCCACGAGGGGACGCGTCCAGTGGCCAAGGCGCTTCGATTATGCCTTCGGGAACTGAAAAAATAACTGTAGGGAAAATCCGTGCTCCGGCGGGCCGCCGCGAGTCGAGTTAGAGGCCCGTGGAGTCGAGACCTAGACGGGTGTCAGCTCAGAGGCCGCGTCTGATGGCTCTTGGGAGGTCTGGGTTGTGTCCTTGTCTTTAGTCAGCGGCTGCAGGTGGACTCGGGGCAGGTGTGGAGGAAGAGCTGGGCTGTGCCCTGCTGGGAGCGGCGGGTTCTGTCTCAGGGCGTGGGTCTGGCCCGCCTGAGGTCTGTAGACGCGGAGAGGCCACGGTCCTCCACTCCTGCTGCCAGACCTGGAGTCCCTCCCGCCGTGTGGGTGGAGACCACGCCAGCGGCAGTCCACCCACCCCACTCCTGGGAACGCTGTGACCAATCATCAACCACAGCCAAACACCTCTGTGGACCCAGGTGCTGCCAGGACTGGCATGTGTCCTGCCCTCCGCAGTTGACGATCACACCTCGTCTCTGGTGGAGAAGTGCTGTCACCTGGTCTCTGCGGCTCTGAAATGCTGTCACCCCCACTGAAATCAGCAAGTCTGTCTCCACGGCAGCCACCCACATGGTCACACGCAGGCCACAAACCACAGAGCTCTCCAGGTGCTCCGCACAGTAAGGTTCTTCTCGCCACCCTGGCAAGGGGTCCTCCTGGGGCACATGGTCGGAGCTGCAACTCAAACTGTGAGTCCGGAGCAGGGACGAGCTGGGCCTGGAAGTATGATGGTCAAAGAAGGGCCAGGAGCAGCCTGTGCGAAGGCACCACAGTCACCGTGCCACAGACAGGGTTGGCAACTCCCCAAAGTTGGACACGTAAACAGCGGTGCTGGGTTTCACACCTGGCGGTCGTGTGGACCTGGGGCCCTGGGGAGGGTGTGCATTCATCAGGCGCTGGCCCTGATGTCACCTCCTACCTCTCTGAAGAACGCCCTGTCCTCCCCTCCACAGAGCCGAGGTGGGGTGGATGCCGTCCAGGGAGCCGGGGGTCTCGTGTGTAGGTGACGCTCCGGTCCTGGAGCACAGGTGTGCAGCAGCCACACGAGCAGATTCCAGAAGATTTTTCACCCTCGCAGGACCAGGCGGGAGGGTGAACCAAGCCCAGGCTGCTGTCCTGGGGGCGTGGCTACGGCTTGCGGGAACGGCCACCCCACAGCCTGGCTCCATCCTCGGCTGGACAGGCACATGCCGACCCTGCCCCAGAGGCAGCAGCTGGGGACAGCGAAGCTGCTCAGGCCCCGGGGCAGGGCCAGGTCAGGCCTGTGGTCGGAAGTCCCCTGCGGTCTGCAGGGCACTCTGACGGGTGCTCAGCAATCAGGAGCTTACTGGACAAAACTAATGACAGCAAAACAGCCACGTCCACAGGCATCTTTGTGAGTAAATCCTTCCACGGCCACTTTCAAACTGCGTTGGCAGAAGGACCTGATCTGGCTAGGACGTCCTGTAGGAACCGTGGGCGTATTGGGCACATTCGTGTCACGTGTGGACGGATGCCCACGTCTGACAAGAGTTCACGAGCTGGTGGCCATGCTGGAGGCTCAGCAGGTGCCACTGAAGACGGTACATCTGGACTCTGCACTCCTGTGCTGGTCACGGCCTCAGCGCAGGCCCCTCTGCACCCCTGTGACACAGAGCGTCACCAGCTCTGTGACAGTCTGTGACCTCCAGCCTGGGGTGCAGGGAGAGGCCCTGGGTGTGGCTGGCTGTGTCACGGATTCCCCTGAAAGTGCTAAGTGTCCAGGGTGACCACGGCTTTAGCCTTGCAGACGCCAGGCTCCTCTGAGCTGCTCTGAGGCAGCCTGTTCAGCCCAGGGCTGGCCACGGCCAAGTGCTGGTGGCCACAGGGCATCACAGGCCAGCGGGGGCCAGGCTGGCACAGGGAGACAGGCTCAAGGGCAAGCTGTGCTGGAAACTGCCCACGTCCAGACTGTGCGGGAAGCTGCTGGCCCTGTGGCCGACGCTTTGTTTGAACCCATCAATCCAAGTCTCTTTCCTCCCCAACCCCAACCCCTTCCTTTAGAGGGACATCAATATTCATGTAATAAATAAAACAACAGCACAAAAAGCTGACTCCTCACTTCCTGCCCACAGGCGCTCATCCTTGGCCAGTGAGTGAGCGGCTCCAGGCCCGGCCCAGCCAGCGTTGCCCTGTGTGTGGCGCCCCCCGCATGGCAATTGGCTGCTGCCCAGGGCTCGGCCGCCCGGGGAGAGGGAATAAGAGCAGCCTCGGCCCCAGATCCTGCCACCCGGACCCACGGCACGGAGGTGACAAGAGGAGGTGAGAGGGGAGACTCAGGGACACTTGGGAAGAAGCTGCCTTTTCTTCTGGGGGAAGGACTAGAGGGGGAAACCGAGCAGCAGCCCCCAGAAGTGTCCGTGGGCGTGAGCTGCTGCTCCGTGGACACCGGCCGTGGCAGCCCTGGGCAGTGAGGGGTGCAGAGTCATCTCCCCAGAGTCACTCAATGTTGCTGCTTCTCTAACCTGGAGAGCAAGGTTTTTGCTTCCACGGGGGCTGAGGATGATGGAGAGACTGAAGCTGGTTTAGCCACAAATCTGTGGCTCATTCCTGCATCTTTCCCTGGCCCTGGCAAGTAACTGCCTCTGGGCTTTCCAGGCTCCCCCACCCAGTTTGAAACGCCAGGGTCCCCAAGACCCCGCACACCACGCAGAGAGCACAGAAAACCTGAGAAGGTCTTTACCAATAAATTCTGAATTGGGTCAAAGAAACTGGGTTTAATGGTGACTTTTAACTTTCCTCAGTCTCACGGTGTCTCAGGGAGGCAGAGCCCCTTCCCTTGAGGGGACCCTCATGAAGTGTCTTTCTATGGCATTGGAGTTCAAAGGTTCTCATTTCCAATGGAAACATGGACTTTATTTCCATGGCTCTTAAAAGATAAGCTATAAACTATCAACTGTTTCTTAAGTCAAAGGAAAGAACTTAACAGAATAAAAGTTTTTAAATTGATTTATAATGTGGTTATGAGGAAAACCACATTTTGTGGGGTTTTCTAATGTATGGAATACATGCTTTATGCCTTTCCTTGGTAAAAATCCCGGTAGTCATATTTCACAGAAAATAACTCCATGTCCTCGTCCTCAAATCACCACAGACTTTGAGAGGCATCAAAATGACAGACAAATCTCGTTTTATGTTGTTTCCCAATATATGTATCAATGATTGAAGACTGGAGTACAAAGTATAAGGAAGTATGAAATGGCAGTTTGATCTGTCTGAATTGCTCTGTTTGTATAGATACAAATCTCATTGATGTATCAGATTTTTTGTTTTGCTTAAGAGCAAAACAAAATGCACTGATTGTTAACAGGATGACACTAGCAAAGATCAGGCCGATGTAAAAATCTTCAATCCCATTTCCTTTGGAAGATCATGAAATAAAAAGAATTTCAAAGATTTTATTCCAAATTATTTTTAAGATGTGATAGATTCAACATGGGAGTGATTTTTCAACTATATTTAATGTTTAAATTGTATTTAATTTTGACAGTGCAAAGGTTCTTGTTTAATGATTAGAACTCACGGCAAAAGCTGGTAAACTTCTCTGCCTGTGGGTCCATTCTGGGAGCCGCCCTTTGGAAAATGTGCCACTCTCCCAGGATGGGCCGGATCATTCCTCAGTCTGGGGCCCAGGAACAGGGTCTTGGTGCTGGTTAGGAGGGAGGTAGGAGGAGCCTCTCTGTGAGAGCTGCAGAGAGACGCAGCCCTGGTGAGTGAGTGAGCACCGCTGTGTTCTGCCTGTCCCTGACTCAGCGCCACTCAGTTTAATCCTGACCTGACCTTAGGACACATTTCTGTTTCTGGCAGATCAAGTACCTTTTATTGCTATTTTTAAAAAATGTGACAATTCTACATTTATTTTTACAGATAAATTTTACAGTTGTTTTTGTCATGTTCCTCAGCCATCCAAAACACAAAAATCCCAATATTTTTATTTAAAATTACTTAAAATTTATATATTAATTCAAAGGAAAATAAGTTCCTACATTTTATGTTCCTTAGAATCTTCTGGAAGGACCTGCAGTTTTCCTCCTAAACTTATTCTTAGATAATGTCATTGTTAGATGAATATGATATTTTGTGCTATATTTTCTGTTGATAGAATATAGGAATGTATTGACTTGTATGTTCTTATTTTGCTCTACTCACCTCGATGCTTTCTGGTAAATTCTAACAGCTTGCAGGTGACACTTTGCTGCCTGCGCCCTGTCACTTCATCTTGGGGCCCTGCAAAGCAGAGAGGAGCCTAACCCTGAATTCCCTCCCTGCTCTGCCACATTGGCCCCACCCTAACCAGAGGCCAGGGGGCTTGAAAACTTGTCCCTGTGCCCTCAAGGACCAGAAGCGGGTCCTAAGAGGATGACACCTGTGCAAATTCCCAGGATGCCCCGGGCCGTGCCCCTGCTCTGAGCCTGGAGAGACACAAGCCAAGGCCAGTCCTGCTTGGGCTGGAGTCTGTGAGGAAGACACATTGATTGTTCTGGGTACAAACGAGGCATCTTTCCTCTGCAGGCCCCAGGATGTCTGAGCTGGAGAAGGCAGTGGTGGCCCTCATCGACGTTTTCCATCAGTATTCCGGGAGGGAGGGTGACAAGCACAAGCTGAAGAAGTCGGAGCTTAAGGAGCTCATCAACAACGAGCTCTCTCACTTTCTAGAGGTGAGTCTGCTTCCTAAAATCAGCAGTGTATCCGTCCCCTTCCCACTTACAAAGCCACCTGGACCCATCATCTCCTGAGCCGCCCTGAAGGGGACTCCAGGTCTGTTTTGGGACTCCTAGATTGTGTCTGAGAGTTGTTTAAACACCTGAGCCCTCGTCCCAAAGGCTGCTTAGTGGGCCCCCTTGTTTCCATCTTCCTGTCGACTGCCGTGTGTGCAGTCGGCATCTCAAGGAAAAGCTGCTGCCTCAAAGGCAAAGAAAGGAATGCTGACCTTTGTCCAAAAGTCTAAGGATTTACAAGAATAGTGATGGCAGAATGGGACAAAAAAATGCTCATGACTTAACCATGGGCCAATGTTATAATGTTATAATATAATGTTATAATCTGTTATACTTTGGGAATGTTTTTGGGAAAAGGATATTTTGAGGGCATGACAGAGGTCTGTGCACATCTTGTGGAAGCCCTAGGGCCTCACGGGAGGCTCCATGGAGAACAGGATGCAACTGAGGCCATGTCTTTGGTCAGGGGCCTGACTCAGGAAGCTCCATGAGGGCTCCTGGAGACCCCGCCTTCTCCAGGCAGTTCTCACTTTGGCCTGCAGTGGAAGCCACCCAGACACCTGCATCAAGGACTCACTTCCCCACTCACTGTCCCCACTGCCCTTGGATCTGACAGCCCCTGTTGGTCACTCAAGTGGCCACTCACACGCAGGAGAAATGGCCAGTGAACCAGCACACTAGTGTCTGACCATGCGCTGACTCTGGGTAAAAGGCCAGGGCAGGGCCCTGCACACAGGGTTGGAAGCCACCCTCCTGAGCCAGTCCAGTTGCTCACTGCTGGACGGACAGCAAGCTCTGGGTCCCAGCACCAAAGCGGGGCATGTTGTCTGGAGGGCTGGCTGGGGTCCCCTCCCCTCACCCAAACGCTCCACCACACCACGGAGTGGAGCACACAGGCCTGCAGGCTCGCTGGGGCACCTCCAAGTCTGACTCCAGGACTGGTTTTCTCAGGGATCCAAGTTCATGGAGCAGCTGCTGTCCCTGACTAGGAATCTGCTCTCACCAATTTTGCCTTCTGACCTGGCAGCGTAAAAGTCCCAGTTTCTTCTTCTATGAAAACGGTGAAATGAGATGGTGTTTGTTGAGTGCTTAACACAGTGGAAGTTCAACAAATAGTAGCTACTAATTATTGATCTTAAAACATAGAAAAAGTTTAGCATGTGAGAATCACAATTTACAAATGATAAATAATTCATGGTAAGCATATCAAGGCACCACGGACATTTGTTGGTTTGGTTTTATCAAGGCCATTTCAGTTCAGAAGCAGATCTCCCATGTGGTTGGAATTAATGTCCTGCTTCCACCCATTTTGAGCAGACGTTCTCAGGCCCCATCCCAACCTCCACTGGATTCACACTCCTCTGCGTGTTTTATTTATTTATTTATTTATTTATTTATTTATTTATTTATTTTTTGAGACAGAGTCTCACCCTGTTGCCTGGGCTAGAGCACCGTGGCGTCAGCCTAGCTCACAGCAACCTCTAACTCCTGGGCTCAAGCGATCCTCCTGCCTCAGCCTCCCGAGTAGCTTGGACTATAGGCATGAGCCACCATGCCCAGCTAATTTTATATGTATGTGTGTATATATGTATATGTATTAGTTGTCTAACTCATTTCTCTCTCTCTCTCTATATATATATATATACATATACATATATTTTTTTAGTAGACAGGGTCTCACTCTTGCTCAGGCTGGTCTTGAACTCCTGAGCTCAAACGATCCTTCTACCTCAGCTCCCCAGAGTGCTAGGATTACAGGCGTGAGCCACCTCGCCCAGCCTCCTCTGCGTGTTTCATACTCAAGGCAGCCACTGTACACTATACATTTCAGCCAGGCTGTCCTGTCTGGGGATTTGCTACTGTGAACAATCTGCATTTGTGCTCTTCAGTCTTCAACACCCACATTCTTTCTGCGATACTTGCAGCCCTGCACAGTTTGTCCCTCTGAGGCTTTGTACATCACTTAATCACTTTGGTACCACGCTCACTAGCCACAAAACCTTGCCCACAGCCAGCACTCATAGTCCGCAGGATAGTTTGTGCTGTGCATTGATGATGAATCCGTTTTGCTCTTGTGTGATGAGAAAAGCTTTAAAGCACTGAAAGCTTGTTTTACTTTACAGGCAGCTTTACTTGTAATGTAAATCAGAATAGGTAACATATACATATATGTTTTCATTGTGTTATTTTTAAATGTTCACAATTTTATTTTGAAAAATGAAAAATTAGAAAAGTCCTATCACGCTGTCGGCTAAAGTCGCTGTGCGCGTTCATCTATGGCTATCAACCATAGTCAACGCTGGTACCGAAGTGGTTAATAACACACCATTCGATTGGTTTTGGGCAGAACTCTCAGGAAAGTCTCATAGTACCTGGAAATCAACTCAAGTGGGAAAAGAAACCCAAGTTATTAGCAAATGTAGGACATGTTCCCAATAGTTATTTCAGCAACAGAGGAACTTGCAAAACATTAAGTTCCACTGGAAGCCTTCACTATAGGAGCTTCCACACATGGAAACACATGAAAAACTTAGGAGAGCCAAAGTTCATTTTTATTTCAAAACATTTGCTCAGGCTGATCTAGACTGTATTTTTTGTCAGGTGTTTAAGGATAGCAACCTGTAGTTTTTCACATCTTGGTTGCTCTATTCAGGCTTTTCAAGTAGCCCAGGTGCAGGCACAGACCATAGAGGCTTCTGCTTGGCCAACAGCCCCTGGCCACAGAAGTCTCTCCTGATACCTTGCATTTTATATCTTATTTCTGGAATCTTAGGTTATTTCTGATACAAATGATCAGACATCCAACTTTTCATTTTCATGGCCCTAAATTCCATTTTAAAACAAGTTGGGCAACTTCTCTTCTCTCTCTTAGGAAATCAAAGAGCAAGAGGTTGTGGACAAAGTCATGGAAACACTGGACAATGATGGAGATGGTGAATGTGACTTCCAGGAGTTTATGGCCTTTGTTGCCATGGTTACCACTGCCTGCCACGAATTCTTTGAACACGAATGAGAGGGAGAAAGGAGAAAGCAGCCGGCTGCTCCTGTAACAAAGAAGGTCACACAAGAGGAAGAGAACGAGGGCTTGCAGGCTAGTAGAAGCTGAGCTCTCTAGTCGTGTTGTAGCTATTTAGGAAGCTTTATTTGCTTTGTGAATGAAAAACTGGCAGCCTCTCTCTAAGGGCTGTTTCAAATGGCCTGCACCATTATTTATGCTGCATTAGGCAAATGTGTAAGGTGTCTGGTCCCAGCGACTTTTGGTCATAATCATTTAGGAAATTCTCAGTCGTAAACATGGGTTGTACAGACCACCATGGCTGTGTAGAATCCCAACTCAAAAAAACCAAAACTGACTACCAAAAATTACCCCCGGGCATCCCTAAGGCTTCCTCTGCATTTTAACACGCCGAGCCTTGTCCACCATCATTTGGAAAGGCTGCCCTTCCTAGAATCTGTTCGTCGTTAGCGCAAATAAAGCCTAAAGCAGTTGGATGGTCTGACTGTTCCTTCCCACCTACCCAAGAGCTGGGTAACCCTTTGTGACGACTGAGCAAACACTGAACGCCAACTGTTCTAAACGGAACTGCGCGTCTCATAAGCCAGAAACTCCGACGGTTTAACCAGAACGAGACTAGGAATCCTGCACTGGGGCCGCTCGGTCAGCCGGCCGGTCCGCCCGCTGCGGAGCCCGAGGCTGCACTTGCGCTGCAGAGTCCCCAAATAAGCCAACAGGCTGCAAATATGAAAACTACTCCCGGGAAACTCCAATTAATCGTACCCGCCCTCTTCCCGCTTTGCTTTTCTAAGGATGAAGGCGCGGAAATTCACACACCCACCGGCCGATCGTATGTGACCTAAACAAACCCATCAAAGCAGAATCCGGTCACCAGGAAGTCCCGAGGCCGGATGCGGCCCAGACCCGAGAGAACTTCCGGGCTAGCTGGGTCACGTGCCCTCTCTGGGCCAATCACCAGGGAGAGAGCTGCGATTGGCCCGGCACCATCACGTGCCCGCGCGATGGTGCCCGGAAGTGGGCGGAGCTGCTGGCCGCGCTTGTTGCGCGTGGGGGTCGTGGCCCGAGCGTTGGGGGAGTCGCCAAGTCCCGGGTTATAGGTGTCCCCGGTTGGCCCGACTCCCGGCCTCAGGACCCCTTGCTCCCCCTCAGAGACGCTCTCGGGCGCCCGCACCTCCCTGCCAGCCCCGGCTCTCTCGCCCACCGTTCCAGATTCTCCTCTTTCCGGGGTCCCAGCCCTGGTCCTCTTGCAACCACCAAGGGACTCGAGCTGGGCCAACTGGGGGCCCGCCTCGGGTGCTCCCTGTGGGCAGTTGGTGTCTGCAGTGCGACACCCGTGGGAGCCCGTTAGCTGTTCCCTGCAGCTCTGCCCTGCAGGGTCCCACCCTGGGCTCCATTTAGCCCACAAGCCCCCTGCCAAGACCCTGGAGAGGGAGTGGCAACTCTTCCCAGGCAGTTCTGGGACACTCATGGGTTTGTTTTTTTGTTTCAGATTTTTCAAGTTTAGGGATTCTGCTCTTTTCTGGTGCAGACACAACTCGGCTTCTTGTGATTGCAGATAGCTCGAAATGTCTGGGCATCAGACGAAGGTTCCACTTGCCCTTCACACCTGTCCAGTGAGAACCTAGACCAGGGGTCCTCAAACTCTTTAAATAGGGGGCCAGTTCACTGTCCCTCAGACCGTTTTGGAGGGCTGGAGAGTGTGGGGCACATTCCACATATGCGCACTGTGGGCCCAGGACTAGTCGGCTGCTAAGCTGGACAGGCAGCAGGGGCAAAACAGCCGGCAGGCCATAGTTTGAGGACGCCTAGCGTAGACATTGCCTGGTGCTGGCCCTGTGCCAAGAACTGGGCTGCTTCAGGGACCAGGTGTGTTAGGACAGGGGCTGCCCAGGCTCTCAGTTCTGAAGGCCGAGGGAAGTGGTTCCTGTGCCTCTTTAATTATTACCCTCACAGCTATCTCCACTAGCACCCTGGCCAAGATACTGTCACAGCCTCCTTTCACTGCATTTGGGGAGAAAAGGGCTGGCTTCTCCCTTAAGGAGTGTGGAAAATACACATTGTTCAAGCAGGTTATCACGGGCAAGCCTGGAGCCTGGGCACAGGCCATGGAGGATGAGGATGGCACTTTCCTCACGAAAGTATTCAGGCTTGCAAGAGGAGGGAGGGTGGACTTGGCTGGGCTAGAAGGAACTTTTCTGCAGACCCCCTCAACTAGTACCGCTCATTTAAAATGCAGGTAACTGGGGAACATCTCACACAGTGGAAGCCACTCCTGAAACTTTCTTCTGTGAGAGGTTGAACAGGATGATGTTGGAGATACACTGCTGGATCACATGACCCCCACAGCTCACTGCACAAAACTCAGGATACTTGCTAAGTATCCCAAGCACCAGGCCTCCTCGCGCAGGGGGTTGGGGGGCCATGACTCACTGGAGGTCTGGCTGTGGGACTGTTTAAACAAGAACTCAGGTGGTTCTCATCTAAGTAACACCAGGTTAGCAAAGCAGCACTGTCAACCTAGATGATTCTTCTGGAGGAATTGTGCCCACCCTCTCAGTATAGCAGGTTCCTCACTCAAGGGTTGACTCTGCAAGGCAGAGGGTGGGAAAGGGCTCAGGACATCTAACACCTGAGGCTCCCTGAGCAGGGACATTACTGCCCTTCCCAGGCTCAATTGGGCCCCTCTGGACTGTGGTCTCCTCATTGAAGAAAGGAAGAGTGCTGGGTGGCATGCAGATAGGCTTAAAGTGCCCCTATCTCCTCCATGAGGCGTCCATATCTTGTACAATCCCCTCTGTGAGTGTTCCCAATCGCAGGGGTGGGGCGGAAGCATTCATTAGGTATCCATTAAGTATGTTAGCTGTAGGATTTTTGTAGATGCCCTTTATAAGTAACTTGCCTTGTATTCCGAGGGTGTTGGATTTTGTCAGAAGCTTTTTCTGTTTATTGAGGTTATCATGTGGTTTTGTTTTTTTAGTCTATTGATATGGCATGTTGTCTTAATGGATTTTTAGATGTCAAGCCAACCTTAGATTCCTAGAATAAATCCTGCTTGGTCATAGTGTACAATTCTCTTTATATGTTGCTGGATTTTGTTAGTATTTTGTTGAGGATTTTTTCTGTCTACATTCATAAGTGATACTGGTTTTTAGTTTTCTTGTGATGTTTATTTGGTTTTGGTGCCAGATAATACTAGCGAGGGCCTCTGTGCTGCATCATCCCATGGCAGAACGTAGGGCCAGAGAAAGCAAGAGGGGGCCGACCTTGCCCTTTTATAATGGCATCGCTCCTGTGACAATGAACCCACTACTGTGATAATGGCATCAATCCATTCATGAAGGATGGTAACACCTCTTAAAGGTGTTACCATCCTAATACCATCACAATGGCAATAAAATTTCAACATGAGATTTGGAGGGAACAAACATTCAAACCATAGAAGATTTTCTCTATTCTTGTTTTTTATTTCTGCTCTAAATTTTATTTCTTTGCTTTTGCTAGCTTTGGGTTTAGTTTGTTCTTTTTCTAGTTACTTAAACTGTAAGGTTAGGTTGTTAATTCGAGATTTTCCTTGGTTTTTAGTCTAAGCATTTATAGCTATAGATTTCCCGCTTAGTGCTGCTTTTACTGGGTCCCATAAGTTTTGGTACATTGTGTTTTTATTTTTATTTATCTTTAAGTATCTTCTAATTTTCCTTGTGGTTTCTTCTCTGGTCCATTAAGAGTGTGTTAGTTTCACAAATTTGTGTATTTTTTCAGTTTTCCTTCTGTTATTAATTCCTGTCATCCCATCATGGTCCAAGAAGAGATATTGTATGATCTCTTAATCTATTGAGACTTTGTTTATAGCCTAACATATGATCTATCTAGGAAAATGTCCCCTGTGCCCTTAGGAAGAATGTGTATTCTGTTTTTGTTGTTGGGTAGAGTGTTCTGTAATGTCTGTTATGTCTAGTTGGTTTGTTGTGTTGTTTAAATCTTCTATTTCTTCATTTATTTTCTGTCTGTTCTATCCATTATTGAGAATGGGGCATTGACATCTCCAACTATCATTTTTGTTTTTTGTTATTTATTTATTTTTGAGATAGAGTCTTGCTCTGTTGCCCAGGCTGGAGTGCAGTGGCATCATTATAGCTCACTGCAACGTCAAACTCCTGGGTTCAAGCAGTCCTCCTGCCTCAGCCTCCTTAGTAGCTGGGTCTATAGGCAGATGCCACCACCCCCAGCTAATTTTTCTATTTTTTTATAGAGATGGGGGTCTCGCTCTTGCTCAGGCTGGACTCTAACTCCTGACCTCAAGTGATCCTCCTGTCTCAGCCTCCCAGAGTGCTGGGATTATAGGTGTGAGCCACTGCAACCCCCCAACTATTATTATAGAACTGTTTCTCCCTTTAATTCTACCAGTTTGATGGTTTGTCATTAAATGTGTATATGTTTATAATTGTTATATCTCTTGCTGTGTTGAATCTTTTATTAATATATAATGCCATTGTCTATTATAATCTTTCACTTAAAGCTTATTTTGTCATATATTACTAGAGCTACTCCTGCTCTCTTTTGGTTACTATTTCCATGAAATACTGTTTTCCATTCTTTCATTCTCAATCTATTGTGTCTTTGGATATAAAGTGAGACTCTTGTAGACAACATATAGTTGGATTATGTTTTTTCTATTCTGCCAATCTCTGTCTTTTGATTGGACAATTTAAGCCATTTATATATGAAGTAGTTATTAATAAGGACAGCCTTACTTTTGTCAGTTTGCTATTTGTACTCTATGTGCCTTCTAGCTTTTTTGTCCCTCATTTGCTGCATTACTGCCTTCTTTTGTGTTTAGTTGATTTTTTGTAGTAAAACATTTAAATTCCTTTCTCATTTCCTTGGGTGTAGTGTATACAGTCAACATTGCTTAACGACAGAAATATATTCTGAGAAATGTGTCACTAGGTGATTTCATCATTGTGTGATCATAGACTGTACTTACACAAACCTACCTGGTATAGCCTACTACACACCTAGACTAATGGTATAGTCCATTGCTGCTAGGCTATAAACCCACACAGTATGTGACTGTACTGAACATTGTAGGCTATTGTAACACAATGGGAAGTATTTACGTATGTAAACATATCTAAATATAGAAAATATACAGGAAAATACAGTGTAAAAGATCTAAAATGGTATGCCTGTATAGGACACTGTCTTAGTCTGTTTTCTATTGCTTATAACAGAATATCCAAAACTAGGTAGTTTATAAAGAAAAGGGGCCAGGCACGGTGACTCACGCCTGTAATCCTAGCTCTCTGGGAGGCCGAGGCGGGCGGATTGCTCAAGGTCAGGAGTTCAAAACCAGCCTGAGCAAGAGCGAGACTCCGTCTCTACTATAAATAGAAAGAAATTAATTGGCCAACTGATATATATATAAAAAATTAGCTGGGCATGGTGGCGCATGCCTGTAGTCCCAGCTATTCGGGAGGCTGAGGCAGAAGGATTGCTTGAGCCCAGGAGTTTGAGGTTGCTGTGAGCTAGGCTGACGCCACGGCACTCACTCTAGCCTGGACAACAAAGCGAGACTCTGTCTCAAAAAAAAAAAAAAAAAGAAAAAGAAAAGGAATTTCTTAGGATTATGAAGGCTGGGAAGTCCATGGTCAAGGGTCTGCATCTGGTGAGTATCTTCTTGCTGGTGAGGACTCTTTGCAGAGTCCCAAGGTGGCACAGGGCATCATATGGTAAGGAAGCTCAGCATGTTAGCACAGGTCTCTCTTCCTCTTGTTATAAAGCTGTCAGTCCCATTCCCATTATATTCCATTAATCCATGAATAGGTTAATACATTCATGGGAAAAGAGCCCTCATGACCCAATCACTTCTTAAAGGCCCCACCTCAATATTGCTACATTGGGGATTAAATTTCAACATGAATTTTGCAGGTGACAAACGCTCAAGCCACAGCAGGCATTTACTGTGAATGGAGTCTGTGTGACTGGAAGTTGCTCTGGGTGTGAGTGGTGAGTGAATGTGAAAATGTAGGATATTACTGTACACTACTATATACTTTATAAACACTGTACTCTTAGGCTACACTAAATTTATAAAAAGTATTTTTCCTTCAATTATAAATTAATTTTAGCTTACTATAATTTTATAAACTTTTAAATTATTACCTTTTTTTTTTTTGGCTTATGTCCATGTCTTTAGATAAATTATTAACTTTTTGACTCTTGTAATGACACTTAGCTTAAAACACAAACACATTGTATACCTGTACAAAAATATTTTTATATCTTTATTCTATAAACTTTTTTGTTAAAAAGTAAAAAAAACACACACACACATTGGCCTAAGTCTACAGAGTGTCAGGATCATCACTATCACTGTCTTCCACCTCCACATCCTGACCCACTGGAAGCTCTTAAGGGGCATTAACAGGCATAGAGTTGTCATCTCCTGTGATTACAAGGCCTTCTTCTGGATACCTCCTAAAGGAGCTGTCTGAGGCTGTTTTACAGTTAACTCATATAAGTAGAAGGAATACACTCTAAAATAATGATAAGTAAAGACATAAAGCAGCAAGAGTCATTTATCAAGTATTATGTCTCGTAATTGCATGTGCTATGCTTTTATACAACTGGCAGTACATTTGTTTACACCAGAATCACCACACACACGAGCAATGTATTGTGTTATGATGATGTTATGATGGCTACAACCTTACTAGGTGATAGACAATTTTCAGTTCCATTATGATCGATGGGGCCAGTGTCATATATGCGGGCCATCACTGACCAAAACATTATGTTGTGCATGACAATATTCTATAGCTGTTTTCTTTTGTGTGGTTACCAGAGGGATTAAAGATCCCAAAGTTCTAATATTCTAACTTGAATTTTACTACTTAACTTCAACAACAAAAAATTCTGCTCCTTTAACAGTTTTGTCCCCACATCCTTTGCTGTTGTCATGAAATTACATCTTTATACACTGTATTCTCAAAATATAAAATAATTATTTGAAGTTATTTGGCCTCTTAAGTTACATAGAAAACAAAATGTGGAGTTACAAACCAAAGTTATAAAAATACTAGCTTTTAGACTAATTTTTAAAATGTATTAGTCACTTGAATCATGTAGAAAACAAAGTGCTGTTAAAGACCATCATTACAATAATACCAGCTTTTATAACTGCTCATGTAATTTACCTTTACTAAGATCTTTATTTCTTTAGATGACTCTGAGTTACTGTCTAGTGTCTTTTCATTTCACTTGGAAGGACTCCCTTTGGCATTAGGGCAGGTCTGGTGGTAACAAACTCCCTCAGCTTTTGTTTATCTGAGAATGTCTTAATTTCTCCTTCACTTTTGATGAACAGTTTTGCTGGGTATAGAATTTTTGGTTTAGTTTTGTTTGTTTGTTTTAGCATTTTTAATATATTAGCACACTACCTTCTGACTTCTAGTGTTTGATGAGAAATCTGATTATCTTATTAAGGATCCCTTGTATGTGACATGTTGTTTCTCTCTTGCTGCTTTCAAGATTCAAAAGTGTTTGATCTGCTACCTTTCAAAAGTTGTTGGCTTTTGAAAGTTTGATTACATGGTGTCTCAGTGTAGTCTATTTAAGCCCATCTTACTTGGATTTTGTTGAGCTGCTTGGATGCTCATACTTATATCTTTCATCAAATTTGGGAAATTTTCAGCCATCTTTTTTCAAATATTCTCTCTCTCCATCTTCTCCCACACGCCCAGGACTCCCAACATGCATGTTAGTTGCCTGATGGTGTCCCACAGGTCCTATAGGCTCTGTGCACTTTTCTTCAATCTTCTTTCTTTCTGTTCCTCAGACTCAATAATGTCTATTGCCACTGATTCAAGCTCACTGATCCTTTTTTCTGCCCTTGAATTCCTCTAGTGAATTTTTCATTTTAGTTACTGTATGTTTAAGCTCCAGAATTTCTTTTTAGTTTTTTTTTCTCTTTATTGATATGGCAATTTTCTTCATACATTGCTTTCTAACTTCATCTTCCCTACATCTTTAAGCTCTCTGAACATCTTTAACATCTATTTTAGTCTTTGTTGAGTAGATCTGCCATCAGGTCTTTTCCAGGGACAGTTTCTATTGATTTTTCCTTTGAATAAATCATAGTTTCTTTTTTTTTTTGGAGACAGTCTTACTCTGTTGCCCAGGCTAGAGTGCCGTGGCGTCAGCCTAGCTTTCAGCAACCTCAAGCTCCTCGGCTCAAGCAATCCTTCTGCTTCGGCCTCCCAAGTAGCTGGGACTACAAGCATGTGCCACCATGCCCAGCTATTTTTATACATATATTTTTTTAGTTGTCCAGCGAATTTCTTTCTGTTTTTTATTTTTAGTAGAGATGGATCTCGCTCTTGCTCAGGCTGGTCTTGAACTCCTGAGCTCAAATGATCCACCTGCCTCGGCCTGCCAGAGTGCTAGGATTACAGGCGTAAGCCACTACACCTGGCCAGATTCCTCTTTTTTATATGCCTTGTGGGTTTTTTGTTGAAAACTGGACATTTAATTCTGATAATGTTGTAACTCTGGAAATCAGATTCTCTTCATCCCCCAGGGTTTGCTGGGTTTTAATGTTTTTGTCTATTTTTTTGCTTTTTTGATTGTTGGAGGCTGTGTGTCTTCTCAGGTCCTTCCTGAGCCTGCACCTTTCCCTGGGCTTGCATAATCACCTTTTAATTTTCCTCTCATATGCAGGTGCTTTGGAATGTCCTAGTCTTTAATGTCTGGCTCCCAAAGGGGAAAATGAGAAAAGTGGAGAAGGGAAAAAGGGTACTGAGCCTTTAGATTCCCTGGAAGTCACTTAAACCAGATGGAGAGGGGCTTGCAAAAATAGGGGCATATGCAACAACCACGGCCCCTCGCCTCTTTGCGCCTCTGTACTCAGAGGTAGCGATCAGAGCACATCCCTGATATTTGGATGTCCAGGTCCCTTTTGCTCACCCTGGCTCCAGCAAGCTGTTCCTGGCACACGAGCACAGCTGCCTGCCATGAGGCTAGGGGTGGGGTAGCTGCTACTGTGCGGACAGCTGAAATTGACCAGATGAATTGATTCCCTGGGAGGTGCAAGCCATCAACAGACTCCAGAATTGCAAAATAGTTACGTCAGACTATTCTGATTCCGCCAATGCAATTATCACCTAGGTGGGAGACAGACTCCTGGTGCTTTCTACTTTGTCATCTTCCAAGAATCCTCTCCCTTCCCTACATTTCATGTAAAATAAATTCTTTTAACTTACCTTCCACTCCATCAGAGTGTCATAGCCTGTAGGTGGCTTTAATCGCTGCTCTCCCTCTGGAGGCTCCTGCAGCATCCAGGTGCTCACCTAGCAATGGTGGTGGTGACAACCCGCCTGTGCTCCCTCTTCCCCTCAAAGCTTGACTTGGTCCCTTGGGCTCATTTTTCAACTTTTGACTTTTAAGTAGCCTCTGTAATGAACATTCATGGTATCTGGACTTTTCAGTTCCTTTCAGAGTCTGGAGAATAAGGTACTCCACACTTAGTAGGCACTTACAACTAGTAACCTCTCAACTTCTCACTGTGCATCGCCCTCAGCAAACACCACAATGCTCCTTCCGAAATATCTCAACCAATTCATGTTTCTCTCCTTAAACCCAAAGGGCAGAGCTGGATTCTGGGAGATGAGGGTGAGGATGAAGATGAAGAGTGAGGCTTTGAGACCAGCCACAGGAAGGAGGGAAGATAGTCCAGCCCCCTGCTGGGAAACGCTGAAGTCATTCGTCTTCAACACATTTTTTCTTTTTTTTTTATTATTAAGAAGCAAAAATGTGAAAAAAATTGGTTTTGAAATTTTGCATGCAGTTCCTTTTTAATTCTCCATTGCTGAAATTGAACATCACATGAAAGGATGAATGCCCCACACAGTGTTATAACACTGTTACTACCTCTAACTTAAAGAGTAAGTATTCCTTCCCTAACCCTTTGGGATCCAGAACTTAGATAAAGTGATCTCAGATAGGAAGGAAATGCTTCTTATTGTTTTTGCACACAGCAAGTAACGTGCACATGGTTTACTCACAACAAGACAGAGAGGAACCAGCAAGTCTCTTTGCCCTTTTTCTGTAGGGCCAGCAGTGTGGCAGGAACTGAGCAAACACTGGGGGACGGTTATTTCTCTGCCATGTACTGCCCCACTGGGTTATGCTGACCAGTCCAGTAGAACCACTTTGAAATAAATCAGCTACAATTATAATCTGAAATTAAGGACAAGTAACCATAGTTAACATAAAGTCTACAGAATATTTAAAAAGCAACCTGAATTAAAGCAAATAGAATCAAAATACAAATGACCCACTAGAAAAAGTAGGGGACATATGCAGATTATAATTCTTAATACAAAAAGGCTCCTACAAATCAGTAAGAAAAAACTGAAACATAATAAGAACTGCCAAATCTGAATATAATACATCAAATGAGAAATAAAAATGACCGTAAACAGATGAGAACATACTCAACACGACCAGACCCAACCCGTACTTGCCTGTCAAATTGCTCAAGAGTCACTTTGATCTTGAGCACAAGTCCATCACCAGCACTGCTGGGCGGCTGCAGAGTGGCCGCTCCCAGGCTGCCATCTGGCCCCATCCATCCCTCCTCTGGGAGACCAGCAGGTATCCAAAGCCTCCCACCTGGCATGAACTCTGACCCATCCGCTCTACCTGTAAGAACCGAGCCCACCGCAGTGGCTGTGACTGTGGACGTGCACACACGCACCTGAGAGGAGGTCGCGGCAGCGCCGCTGACACGATGCCCCTCAGCACGGGCGATGCCGCGCCAGCCAGGCACACCCACAGGCACCGCCACAACGCATGTCGAGGAATGTATGTCATACACTTACGCCTGCAATTTATTAAGTACAAAAGCAGATTATAAAAATAAGTATACGATCCTAATTTTGTAAAATTAAAAAAAGAAAAAATAAGACTTATGTCAAAGACTAATGCTGCTATTGTGCAGAGGTAGGATTATAGGAGATTTCAATTTTCTTTATACTTTAATGTGCTTTCTACATTTTATGCTGTAAGCATAATTGCTTTGATATTCAGAAAAAAATACTGCAAAATAAAATACATCCTATTTGGGGTAATTTTTAAAACCTTTTCACACATTTCAAAATGCAGAATTACAAACAGTTAATAACTTTTATTAACATAATGGTATAAAAATTTTTAGTGTGATATACAGGATTCCCAAGAGTAATTCTAAAACATTTTAATGCATTTCTTAAAATCTTAATTTACAAGACACTTTGTCTTACTGCCACTGACCTTTCAATACAAAAAGTTTACAATTTTTGTTTGCTATAAAACTACATTAAGATTGGAGTTAGGTAGTTCTTTTTCCTTCCCAGCCATAAAAATGTCCATTAGTCCACTGCTAAAACCTATGTGTGACAAATTTTAAGTTACATAGATTCTGTACATAATTACAACAGGAATATTAGAATTCCAGTATGTTGCAACATGCTACACCGCAGTCCAACAACACAGGCAAACAGGGCTACTGTGCACGCTGCTGTCTGTAGCCAGATAAGAGATATGAGTTGGTCCAGTTAGCCAGACTCATATGTAGAGAATTAATAACAGCTTTGTTAGGCACTGATCCAGGCTAATTCTGGAAAAATCTGGTGTTTCTGTGAAGCATGCATGATTCATAAAATTTCCCACTCTCAATCCCCCCAAAACCCAACAATTTCATAACATATTCTTAGTTATATAAAAATAATCTATGTCTTAAATTCATGCCTGACTTCAAATTCTTAGAAGTATCCAAAGGATTTTACATTCTCTTCTTCGATTTAGGTTCAGTGTACTTTTAGATCACTCAGCTTAGTCAAGTTTGACTAGAATAACTGAAAACGGTTTGGCCAAATTTCACAGGCACACAAGTCAAAATGCGAGGCCAGTGACGAGGGTGCCCAGCTCTGCCTCCAGGAGGCGAGGCCGCCTGCTGCCCTGCTGCCCTGCAGGTGGCTCACCGAACAGCACAGAGGGTGTGAAAACCTTAGGCTTTGCTACCACTGCTTCCCAACCTGGTGACCTGGAAATCAGTACACTTCCACGAGAAGAACTGATGGTGTAGTGTTATGAAAACTACCAATTTAACCAAATGGCACGAAGTCACAGGCCAGGACAGTGATTTGAAACTAAATGCTGGCTTCTCTTTCTGAAACAGAGCCTCTAACTTGACAGTCCAAAATGGCACTTGACGAGCGTTAGTGACAACACATTCAGAAAATGGCACACCTGTTTCCGTGAAGACACTGGCAAAGAGGGAGCCCCTGTGAGACCCTGCGCGGCCCCCGAGCGGGAAGGGCGGGCCTGCATGTGCCCCTTGCTGCCCGTCCTGCTGGGCTCAGCCGCCTGGGAGACGAAGACAGGCTGCTGGACCCACAGCCTCACAGCTCTCTCCAGCCTGAATTCTATGAGCAAAGTTGTCATTTCAAGTAGAAATAAATAACTGAATTTTTAAAATCAGGAACTATATTTTTAGCCTAAGGAAAGTGCAAACTCGCAGTACAGCAGAGAACAACCAGGGTGTCTGAGAAGCCTCGCGATGCACACGCCAGGCCCTTCCTTGCCTCTGCCAGCCGCTCCATCTGTCAGAACACCGGCTTCCATGTTTTTGTCAAAGTACTTGGCAGACTGAAAATAGTTAAGAAATCCAGCGAGTGCTTTCTGAAGTGAGGTCTGGGAACTGCGGAGGGGCTCTGTGAAGCACAGGAAGGGGCGAGTCATCATGGAGACCAGACTCCGTTCTCCCGGTGGGGGCTCTGCAGCCGTCCGCACGCCCACGCCTTCGACCCACCGGGTGGCGCCCGTCTCCAGCACCTAGGGCTGTGCGCGCGCTCACATGTTGTAGGCCACGTAGATGGGGTCCAGCTGGTCGGCCAGGAAGCCGTCCCGCAGGTGCATTCGCTGCTTCTCTCCCCGGGAGTTGATGGGGATGACACCCGGGTCCACGATGACCACCACGCCCACAACCAAGTAGTGCTCCTCCAGCACCACGTTGGTCACCAGGGCCACCAGGTCCAGCGCGTCCTGCTCCAGCCCGTCCAGCTCCACCACCACCACCAGCAGGTTGGTCCAGGTGAACACAGCACTGCAGGGAGAAGGGCCAGGTCACCCGGGGTTGGGCACAGGCTCTGGAGCCAACGGATGTTTGGGAAAGGCACCGCAAAGAAGGTGAAGGACGCTGACGCACGTTTGCTGACGGCGCCACTCACAATTCAGACATCAGGCCAGATCCGTGTTATAGGAGTATCTGTTCTAACTGAAGTTCTCGCTAAGGAGAACACTGCTTGATGTGGAAAGCTGTCCCTGTCCCCCCACAATGCCAGCTCCCCACGAAGTGAGGAAACCGTGAGTCACAACCATCTAAATTAAGTCATTCTCACTGAGCACTTCAGGATGAGAACTGAGGAGACCTCACATTTTGCCTGTGCACTTGGAGACAGACTCTTGGTTCAAAACTCATTAGGAAAAGAAGAAAAAACGAGCAAAACCCAAAGGCATCAAGGCAGGTTCTGGCACCATGTTTTGCAGAGCGTGTGCTCTCCTGGCGGGCAGAGTTCATCCAACGCGGCCCAGCTCCGCCAGGAACTAAGGTGACCATGCAGGAGGCCTGACCCCACAGCCTGGCAGTCCCCGGCTCTGCCCCAACCGACACACAGCACTCACCACTCGGCAATGCTCCTGTGTGCTCGGATCACAGACGTCTCGATGTCAATGGGGTGGTACCGCATGCCTCTCAGCTCCAGTGTTTCATCCAGAGACCCAACCACATACAGCGCATCATGCCGTCCTGTGAACAGCACGTGTGTGCACATGCTCAGACAGGCAGGGCGCCTGTTTGAGGTCATGACTCAAACATCATGTGGCACCTATGGCAGCTCAGTCTGTTTCCTGTGCAGCGAGTAACCACCTCAGGGGAGTACGGCAAATGTGTAAACTTTGTTTAAAAATAATGTTCACCTCTGGAAACAGCAGCATCTACAGGGCTACCAAAGTTGTGATTTGGTTTGGCCAGCTCGCTGCAGCTGCACGGGGTCCTTGGAACACTGGCCATGACTCTGAGTGGGTCCTGTGTGGGGACGGTGTGGGTGAGACTGCAGCTGCTGGGCAGGCAGCTCGGCCTGGGAGCAGCCCGGTGACCTTACCGCCAACCACAGCCAGCCCAGCGGAGGCCAAGGGTCTAAGTGAGGGGCAGTCATAGGGGGAAAAATAGCAATTTTTAGAGAAGACCAGTGTTAGAGTATCTCTTTTACCCCACACCAAACAACACATGACTGTAGGAGTGAGGTACCAGCAGAAAGCTCTCACAAATCCCAAGAGGTCCCAGCATGAGAGTCGGGTGGGCTCAAGGGGTAACAGCACCACACCCCACCTTAACCCCTCACCTCCACTGGCATCGGTGAGCTCTGTTCTTCGGAGGAAGCCCAGGTAGCCAGTCCTTGCCCAAACGGTCTGGGTGTCCCCAAAACTCAGCCGGGCACTGAAGTGGTCGGCATGGAGTGCCTCCTCCCCATAGACTGTGTAGTACCCCGTGGCGTTGTGGGGGCTGCTCACCCAGATCTGGGGGGCCGAGAGCACAAGAGCGTGGGCTCATTACAAACAGCTGAGTACAGACCCTGCCAGGCGACATCTGCTGGCTGGCCAAGAAAACACTGAACAAAGGAGGGTGTCGTGTCCACTGTCTCTTACTTTGTGAACTAAAAGTTACAGAGAAAGCACATTAACTTTTCTCTCCTCAAACACAGTATTCCTTCTTTTGACCCAGAAATGCCATCTGCAGGACCCTGCCCTGTGTGGACGAGGAACGGGGTAATTCTGCCTTCCTCGTGCCAAGGTGCTGTAGACAGGAGATATGGAGCCACCTACACGTCCACGATAGGGGCAGGTTAGAGGGGAGAGGGGTACCTGCAGGGGGACTCACAGCCACTTAGACTTGCGCTGAGACAGGAAGATGAGCTGGCAACACAGACAACAGGTCCTGGGGTCCAGCCCAGCCCCATGCACGGGTTTATGTATACCTGTGCACATGTTCACATGCACCCCATACCCATCTGCATGTGCTTATGTGTACCCATGTACCTGTGTGCATGTCTATGTACACTCACGTACCTATGTGCATGTGTTTATATGCACTCACATACCTGTGTGCATGTTTATGTGCACCTCTGTACCCGTGTGCATGTGTTTACGTGCACCCGTGTACTTGTGTGTGTGTGTTTATGTGCACCCATGCACAGACCAAAGGACCAGAGGACTGTGCTCATGGTACTCAGTGTCCTGGGGCCTCCTAAGAACAGGGGCTATCCAGAACCCATGTCAGTTCCCCATGCTTACACCTGGCTGGCTCCAAGATGTCCCCACATGTCAGTGTCTGAAAGAAGGGGGCAGCCAACAGGGCTTCTCCCTTGAGCGTCTGCACCATGGGTGGGTCCCTATGCCTGGCCCAGACCTTCTATCTCTTGGGTGTACACTCTTGCCTTATAGACCTGGCTCTGGATGGCCAGGAAGCAGCATGGCTGAGGGGAGGGCCCCTCACTTGGTCCACACTCAGGGTTGGGAGCCAGGGCACCTTCCCATCAGGGTGCTGTAGAACACCAGTCAGGTGGAGCCACCGAGGCTGTGTGATTTCTCTCACTGGAAGCCCCCAGGCCGGCTTTGCAGCAGAGCCCACCTGGCACAAGGATGCCCCCAGGACCAGGAATGTGAGCCCCATGTTCCCATAGCAACATCAACCTGGGTGTGCGGGACCTGATCCACACTTTACACTGCCACCACTGTCTGTAAATGACAGGTCCCACCATCCCAATTACAGCAAGATGCACGCACATAACCAGACATTTCAACACTGCTGGGTCTTGGGATGGCCAGGACCCCTCCCTGTTCCACCCGCTATGTCCTCGGGACAAGGGTTCTGCCCTACGCCCTGGACCTTCCAGTCACAGGTCAGGGCCCCAGAGAGCCCCATCCCTAGCACCTTCTCCGTCTGTGCTCCTGGCTCCATGCAGAGAACACTTTTCTGGTTGTTTTTTTTTTTTTTTTTTTTTCCTGAGACAAGGTCTCACTCTGTCACCTGGGCTGGAGTGCAGTGGCATCATCACAGCTCACTGCAGCCTTGAACTCCCGGGCTCAAATGATCCTCCTGCCTCAGCCTCCCACGTCACTGGGACTACAGGCGTGAGTGACTGTGGCCGGCACAGGAACCACTCTTTAAGGAGCAGCTCCTGGGTCCTGCCCAAGACAGCTGTTTCCTATGCTGCTGCCGGTTCCTGGGTGCCTCCTCTCAGTGCCCTCAAACCTTGAGGTTTCCCTCTGCTGGTGGGGCACAAAGGGAGGGGCAGTATATTCCATGGCACCCCAAAATCCCACACAGAAGTGGGGTCTGAAAGCATGTACATGGGGGAAAGGGCCCAACAGTGTCTGGTGGGTTCTCCAAGACAGGTATGACCCCGAAGGGTTTAGAATCTCGAATCTGGGGTAAAGGGGGAAGGTGACGCCAGTGAGGCTGAAGCACCCTTGCCCCTCCCACAGGGCCCACGGTGCTCACCTCGCCCAGGTGTGAGTCTCCCAGGGGCCCTTTGGTCTCTGTGTGTGCAATGATGACCTTCACTCCAGGGAGGATCTGCAAGAGGAGAGCTGTGTTTCTTGTTCAAGAAAACATGACCTGAGACTTTCTTGATTCAGTGACATTAAAAACAACATCCTTTGGAAGCTGGCCCACAGGACTGACATGCCTACATCAGGTCAGGAAGTTTAGAAGCCACTCCACATTTGACTTTAAATTTTAAAATAAGACATTCATAGAAGCAAGTTGCAAATCTTAGCAAAATGACCCCAGTTCTTTGGATGTCAGGAGTGGCAGAGGGCCTAGGGACGCATCCTGCTCTCTCTTAGAAAGACCATTGGCCAGATGAGGACGAAATGCCGTCGGGGCCCCTGTGCAGGGGCACCGTGACGCTGCTGTGCCCAGCCCGGCAGAGGCACATGTCTGGCGACTCCACCGAGCCTCCTGGTTCCTGACCAGGAGCCTGGCCCTGAGGAAGCTCTTCCCACCCCCGACTTGGACTCAGGTCAACCACTGAGCATCTGCTTGGTGCTGACTGGGGACAGTGGGAGGCCACTGTCTCTTGCCCAGCCTACCACATCTGATCCTGGTGGCCCCTCACTGGGCTTGAGTTAGACCCCTTGGCTACACAAGGCCCAGTCACTTGTTCTGTGTCCTCAGTTTCCCCATGTGTGAAACAAGGCAATGACAATGCAGGTGAGAGGAGAGGATGAAGGGTCACTGGGGGGCTGCTGGAGCCCCACTCTCTGCCTGTGTGGCCCAGAGCTCTCCCTCCGGAGCACAAAGCCATCAGGCCCCAGGGATTGTAATAGCAGAGCAGGAATGAAAAGCCCAACAGAAGGGAGCTGAGCAAACGACTGCAGCCCGGCCACAGGGCGGGCAGGAACAGCATGTAGGAGAGCTGCCGTGAGGACCGAGGGCACAGGGCGGGGTTAGGGTTAGCTGCACGCAGAGTGCGCTCCAGCTCCAACGTGCGCATCTCTCTGTGCTCCAAGCAAGACGGGACGTGCAATGGCCTCAGGTCTTCCTACAGATGCGCTGTCCTGTCAAGCTCACTTGATCTAACTCAGCTGGTCTGCTACTTAGAGCAACGTTACAAAGGGGGTGTAGGAGGTGAGCGTGCCAAGACCTCGCACCCTCTTTGCCCATTCATTCGTTCTCTCTGCTCTCCCCCACCTGGCTCCAGCCTCACTGCCTTCCTGAGGACCTTTGCTCCTGCCGTGCCTTCCTCTCTAGATCTAACCCCGTCGCTCTGCAGGAACCTGCTGCTCACCACATGGCTCTGCCCCTCTCTGGGGACCTCCTTGCCTCCCCGAAGGTGGCTGTGGCCAGGGCAGAGTAAGCAGAGTCAAGGTGGCCAAGCCCCCTTTCTTGCCTCTGGGGTTGGGAAGAGGCAACGAGGCCCCCCAGGCTCTCCTTGGTGCACAGCAGCTGCAGTTCGAGACCCCTGGGCTCCTGTGCACTCTGCAGCAGCAGCTGCCCACTCACACCGAGCCCGTCTTGCTTTTCATGCTGCCTCATTGGGCCGGGGCCGGGGCCGGGGCCGGGGCCGGGGCCGGGGCGTTCCTCCTTCCTTTGAACCTTCCCTGGTTCTGAGGATGCTGTTCTCCTGTACCTATGTCTGCTCGTCCCTCGCAGCGGCTCGGTTTTTAACCTGGGTGCCCTCAGGCAGTCTCAGGCCCCTGAGAGTCCCCAGCAGGGATAGCTTTGACAGTAAATCCCACATAAGGTCCAGGACTCCACCTCCTGCCAAGGCCCTGGTGGGGACCCCTCCTTGCTGTCATCCTGAACTAGGGCATGAGTTCTTCCTGCCCCCAATCCAGGGCCAGGGCCACCCCTCTGACTCTGGACATGTGGTTGGGCCGGCCCCGCGACTCACAGCCTTGACCCCAGAAGCCTGAGGCCTCACACTCGCCGGTGTGGGGAGCTCCTTCTCAGTTTTGGTAGCCAAAGTTCTCCCTTTCTTCGTTTTGAGCTCAGATATGTGCTAAAGACTTTTAGCCCAGCCCTGCTACGTGTCTCAGTAAAGCAGGAAAAGAGGCTTGCGAAGCACCCAGCCCAACCCCACCAGAAGTCACCCTGCGTTCATCATGAGAGCTGCAGCCCCCAGCGCCTTTCACGGAGTGACTCCTGAGACAAAAGAGGACTCAGACACATCACGGAACAGGTAAGTCGCAGCTTCCACTACCTTTCCAGACTCCATCAACGGCAGACTGTGTGGAGAACCCCGTTCTACCAAACGTACCCTAAAAATTAATAAGGGAAAAATTTCAGAATAAAATTTGCTAATAGGTAGTAATTTCTAAAAAGGTAAATCATGAGGTTATTGGAACTTGATCATGACTCTGAGGGTCGGTCTGTGGACAACAGATGATGACACAGTCACTGAGAACGTCTCGGGCGGTGACACCATGGTCCCACAGGGAGCGTCCCAACAGCGCTGAGGGTCCTGAGCGTCAGCACCCCCACACGCTCTCCAGCTGCTGTGCTCACAGCCAGAGCCTACCCTGCATTTCTTTGGGGTCCTCTCCAGACCTGGCTGGCCCCTGACGTCCAGTAAGCTGCACTTACTGTTTACATCAAGCTACAAAGTGGCCATATTTGAGGATCCAGAACTGGGATCTGGGCCCCAAAGCTGGGAGAGACCCTGAGCACAGACCATGGGCCCCAGCGCACACTTACTGATGTGAGAACTAAGGTGTTGTGACAACATCAGGGAAGAAGAATTCTTGCCATTAGTTGGTCTACTTGTCTTCTATGCATCCCCATAAAAAGCTAAATGTCAAATGTCTGGTCACTCTTAGCAGCCTTCCTGGTGTGTGAGTGACAGAGAACGGGATGTTTACTGCAGCCCTGAGGACCTGGGCAGCTCAGAGCCAGAGGCCAAGCTCCCGAGTGGGACGTGCCACAGCTCTGCTCTTTCCCGCGCAGTGCGGACGGGCCGCCTCAGCCAACGTCCTCTGATGTCTGGGCGCCTGGGGTGCTCAGTCAGCACAGACCCAGCTCGCACTTTGTCAGTGGGTGCGCACGGGCCGTGCGGGCAAGGACCTCACCTGTCATGGCGCAGCGCCCGCATGTCCACGTAGACGGTGGTGGGGTCCGGGCCGGCTGTGCCCTGGAAGGAGAGCAGCAGAGGAACTTCAGTCAGCGTGCTCACACTCAGGCCTCTCCCCTGGCACAGCTACATGCCAACTCCTCCAGGGCCGTGGGGGATGCCCAGGAGGGCAGCAGCTCTGCTCTCTGCACGGAGCCTGCCCAGGGGCTTGGGTGCCCGGGCAGGGCTGACACTTTCCCTCCAAACACTCACAAGGCTTGGTAATATTGAATGAAACATGTAATAACACTGAGTGAAAATGTCAGATCATACAGCTTCACATTTCAGTTCTGACTTCACTGTAATAAAAACACTCTGAAGTTTGGGGGGCATTTCCACTGAGCTGCTAGGTGGGCCTGGCCTCTCGCCAAGCAACCTAACTCTCCTGGGCACTGAGCACAGCCGAGACCCCTCGGGTGGACACAGCCTTCGCCTCTCCCTCCCCTCCTCCCAACTTCTGAATCTTCCACTTGACATCAGTCCTGATTAAAGGACATCAGGTGCCATTTTATTATAATCGATAAGGAATATCAAATTAAGTGCGTACCCTGACCAACATCACACCCTGACGATCCCAGACAATATAACCTATGTCTGCCCTGGAACTAAAATAAAAATTTCTACATTGAGACTAAACACAGCCCTTTCCTCCCCAAGGCAATGCTATAAACATTACATTTTTTTGAAAATAGTTTTATTTTTAAATTTGGTTACAAAAGAGCTTTTGTAAGATGTCAAATAATATGCACTGTGCACAAAGTAAGAGAGCAAGAAAACATGTAATTGTCTAGAATTCACGAGGAGCCACATGAACTCGGGGGGAGCACAGAGGCAGCAACGAGGTTGGGGTCGTACCTGCTCAGCCAGCTTTCCCAGCCTGTTGGGCTGACAGAGGCCAAGGAGGCCAGCAGAGTGGGACAGGGAGGAGACAGCCACAGGAAACACAAACAGAAGGCCACAGGCCACATGAGAAACAAGGATGAGAGAGAGCAAAACCCATCACTGTATCTTAAAGAGCAAACATGAATATCCATTAACATTTCTGCAATCATACGCAGCATCCATGTGCCAACAGACAGAACAGATCCCTTCCAGCAGCTAACGAGGGGACACAGGCTTTCAGACGCAAAGCAGACAGCAGGGTCTCCACTTACAGCCACTAACCTACACCCGACACCCATTCTACGTCAGGAAGGGATGTTGAGAGAGGGTCCCACCCTGGCTTCTCTGTTTCCCAAAAAGGGTCAGGAGGCTTTCCAAAGCTGAGAGGATGTCAGCAGGAACGCTGACCAGCCCTGCACCTGCTGGGCACTGCGGGGGTCACAGGTGAGGCAGATGCTCTAGAAACCAAGACACAGCCCCACCAGGCCTACTCCGAGACAGGCAGACCTCACGCCTCCTGGCTACTCTCTTTCAACGTGGGAGAGTAAGGCATTTGCTGTGTAAGCTACTTGGTTTTCAGATGTTTGTAGCAAGAAATGAAAGAGGGTACTAGTATGAAATAAGAAGAAGTGGTAAACAGTACTGCAGTCAGCTGTTCAAGTTCTGAAAGTTTTGTGTTTCCTTTTAAAAAGTAAAATACCTTAGGATTTCAAAAACAAATCTGAGTCAATACAATCATCACATTCATTAACGTTTCAACTTAAAATTGCTAGATTTCTTAAAACAGTAACTTCATTCTTGCTTTAAAAAATTAGCTACATATTTTATCCAAATTAGATATTCTTACAGGTAAGATATTAATCATTATTCAGAATCAGTTTGTGTTTTTTTCCCTCAAATAAGCCTCTGTTCACCAATAAGAATAGATTATCTTTTAAATAAAACCCTCATAGCTCTCAAAGCTGAAATGCTATGTGGAAACAACACACCGAAGGCTCAGAGGAGCAACGGGCCAGGCAGGTACCAGGCCCGGTGCCTCACCTGGAGGCAGATGGCCACGTTGACCCTGCACCCGAACGTGGTGCTCACGGCGCGGGCAGGCAGGCCCAGGTCCTTGAACAGCTTGGAGAAGGACTGTGTCAGCGCGATCCTGGGCCGCTCCTCGGCCACCACCATGCATGTGCGCACACATGATAGGTTCACCCCCTTCATCTGCCAGAGGAGCGGGGAGTCAGGCCTGCAGCACAGTGAAGTTCTGCGTGGGGCTCACGCGTGCTTTGGCCCTCGGATATGGCACTCAAAGGCGAAGCTTAACACAAACCTCTGCTCTGCCCTGGTCTGCCCCATGAGTTCTGAGCGACGGAGCGCGGGAGGGCACACATCTGACCTGAACCCCACACCTGCCCTCCTGAGCTGCCAGGCCTCACACCAGGACCTCTCACTGGCCGCGGGCCTCGGGATCCCCACCTGCCCCGCCCCCATCCTGCTGTGTGGCCTCAGGCAGAGAGGGTGTGTACACAGGACCCAGCCCAGGGAGGAGTCCTTGGAGTCTAGTTTTGTTTTGTTCCTTAAGCTTCCCCAGGTCTGAGCACTTACCCTGAGGACGCCTGTCTGGGTGCCCAGCCCCCGGGTACACATCTCCATCACAGAGTAGGAGCAGAAGGTGACGCGGGCCCTGTACTGGCTGACAGCCGACAGCCACAAGGACACATTGCTCTCTAGTTCCAGCGGAGGCACCAGCACCGACTGGTGTCCCGAGTAGACACTGCGAGAAGGGAAGGCTCGACAGTCCCCGCCTGCCCACCGAACGCCCTGGGTACCCCACAGTTCCCTGCCTCAAAGACACTTCTTTTGCAGCCAGGACAGGGGCACAATTCTGTTTTAACATCAAGTGGGGTTCAGCAGAAAACACGCTGCTGGGTAGAGGTGCAGAACGGCAGGCACACGGTCCTGGCCTCCGCTCCGGACTCTCCGAAGGTGCCCGGGGACAGTGTTACGAAGGCGTTCTGCTTCCAGAGATGGATCGCCACGTCCCAGCACTTGAAGGAATCAAGCAGGTTCTTCCCAATTACCAATAATGGGTAGTGATGAAAAATGTATTTTTACTCTTTTACTCAATTTCAGACTCAGACTCCAACCCACCTCATCCCCAAACAAACCCACTCGCACGTGTCTCTTCATCCTCTTGGGCACCTGGCAAAGGCACCTCAGAGCATTAAGGTTCTGGAGAGCCACCCCACCACTCCAACCACCAGGCGGGCAGGCCCTGGGCTCACCTGCACAGACACCACAGGGCGAAGCCCAGGCCGCAGTAGGGGTCCAGGCAGATGGCGATCTGCCGCGAGGGGTACAGCTCGCACTGCAGCTTTATGGAGCGGCACAGGGCACTTGTGGCCGCGTGCGACATCTTAGGAGTGAGATAAGGGTCGCTTCAGTGATGTGCGAGAAGAAAGAGGGTTTGGGACATGTCTGCTGTAGCTCCAAACTATCAGACACCCTTGTTACCTCCTTAAAAGACAGCTGCTCAAATCTCCATATAATCTAAATAATGCCCAGGAAATAGCTCACTAAAAACCTTTGAAACAAAATTTTAGGACAGTAAGAAATTTTAATAGTGCCCCTGGCTCCTAGTAAGGAAACAGACTCATCAAAGCCACCTGTTCCTGGAAGCCAGACAGTCATAGATCAGAGAGTTGAGTCGTTATAACAAGGCATCAAAATATGCATTACTCTCAGGCTAGTCAAATCTGGGGAGGTCCACTGACTTTTAACACAAACTTTAAGAAATAATACTGTTGCTCTGTGCTCTGGGCAAGGAGCAGGACCTGCCTAGACCTGCACCTGACGTCCCTCCTGTCTGCTCCGTGTCCCAGGGGCTGACAAAAATGGGAGCCTTGCTCATGGGACCTACCTTCACGCCCGCTAAGATGCCTGTGGTCGACACGCTGAAGTCCAGGTACGCCAGCACGTCTGGGGAGGGGGGCCTGAAAATGCTAGCTACCTTCCTTTTTGGGATGTCATCTGTTAAACAGGAGACACTGGTGACATCAGTGCTCCTGCATGTATTCTGACAAGGTAAAAGCTTCACGCTTTCCTAGGCCAGAGGTGGAGTGACGTGCACTTGGCGGGGGAGCCCTGGAGAGCCAGCTCAGACACAAGTGGGGCTGTGCGAGCACAGGCTGCGTGTGTGCACGGGAAGGCTTATCTTAACCTTCAAGGAAACGCCCTCAGTGCGGACCTACCAAGACCACATTGAGCCTGTGGGGACAGGATGGCAGGTGAGGGAGGGCACAGCCCAGGAGGGCTGCACTGGAAGTCACTTTGTTGACAAGGGAGCAAGCGGAGAGCACCTGGGACTTGCCAAAGGTCACAGAGCCTGCAGCAGAGCCCGGTGAACCCAGAATCCCCACCCCGCACCCAGCAAGAGCAGCCACGCCGGGCTGTGTGTGCTTCATCAAGTCCTTGTGGCCCTGTGAGGCAGACAGCACTGCTGTCCCCAAGTAGGCTAGAGACAGGCCCAGCCAGGGCAGGCGGGTACCACTCCCCAAGGGTGGGGGGGCCATAAGGCTGTCCACTGCTGCCCACACCAGCTGCCCAGGCCGCCTGATCCAGGATCCTGTGGCTGGCTCAGCCCCAAGCTGAGACTATCTCACCAAGCTGGCCCAAGGTGGAGAGGAACCAGCAAGCTGTCCGCCCCATCCCAGTCGGCACGCAGCATTTCACGGCAAGGCAGTGCTCACTGGTGAGGGTGGGGAGCCCAGGGGCTGTCTCTGAGGGAGCAGCAGAAAGCCTCAGAACAGCCCACCCCTGCAACGGTAGGAGAGGCAGGGAGGGGCAAGGCCCTGGTCTGCGCCACTGGGCCGAGCGCTGCCCTGGCTGGCACTGGAGAGGAGCTTTCACGTGGTCAGATTGGGGTGCACAGGGCTGCTGGCCCCCAGGGGCCCCCACTCCCCACCAGGGCCCAGGAGACGCTGTTGTGTAGGAAAGGGCTGATGCCAGTGTTTCAGTAGACTCTGCGCAGGCTCCAGCAGGCGGATCCATGGATCCCAGGGCACCACCCGCCCTAGGCCCAGGAGCGGCCTTGCCACCACTTACTGGGGCTGCTCTTACGCAACACTCACGTTTGGACCCAGCAATGCAACGCCTGCAACAAAGAAAGAGAAGAGAGCTCCTCTGGTGGGGCCCGCTGCTGAGGACACGCACCTGTGTCCAGAATGGTCGGCCAGGTCCTGATGTCCACTGCAGCGGCCGCCTCCTTGGACCGGAGCAGCCGCGTGACCGCCTGCGTGGTGAGGACGCACGCGGACTTGCTGACCTGCGCGGGGCAGGGCGGAGTAAGCGTGGCCCACAGAGGCCGCAGCGCAGATCCCGGGAGACCGACCCGCCTGCCCTGCGCGCACCTCCACGATCATCTTGACGGTGGGGAGCGTGGTGCCGAGGTTCTGGGGGTGTGGGGGCCGCACGGTGACAGGCACGCAGCCGCAGTACAGGCAGCCGTAGAAGGCAGCAATGAGGTCCACACCTGCAGAGACAGCAGGCGGTCAGCGCTGGTGGTACGGTCAGCCAATGCATGTCCACTGAGGGCAGCGGAGTCAGTGGGTTCCTGGCTGGATGGCAGCGACTCCACCCTGGAGGGACAGGGGTGGAGGTGGGGGGGTGGGCAGGCCCACCCGAGGACACTCGGAGTGGGGCCTGGATGCTGCGCCAGGGACCAGGGCAGGTGACCCTTGAGAGCCCAGCCCCAGCTGCCGTGCTGTGTGCACACAGACCTCGGGAACCTGTGGGGCGCTGTCTACACTGCAGGCTCCTGCACGCGTAGGCTAAGAGGACACCCAGAGGGCCTGCCTGCGGTAATGGCTCTTCCGACCCTCTATAGGGTTAAAATCTCTGTAGTTAAATTTGGGGGAAAATCATGCTAGGCTTAACACCTGTTTTCTGCTGAACTTGGTGGCTCACACCTGTAATCTCAGCACTTTGGGAGGCCGAGGCCACAGGATCACTTGAGGCCAGGAGCTTGAGACCAGCCTGAGAAGAGTGAGACCCCATCCCTACAAAAAATAATAAAAGCAGCCGGGCGTGGTGGCCTGGCCTATAGTCACAGCCACTTGGGAGGTGGAGGCAGGAGGATGGCTTCAGCCCAAGAGTTTGAGGCTGCTATGAGCTGTGATGACACCAGGCACTCCAACCTGGGTAGCAGAGTGAGACCCTGCCTCAAAAAAACAAACAAAGAAAAGAAAAAAAGAATTTGCTTCCTGGCGCTAAGCAAGCTATGCTATAAAGATGCTTGGGTATCTTTCTCTTGCCCTGGTACCACTCAGCCCCCAGCAGCCCAGCCTCTCTAGAGAGCCTGTTCTTAACCCTTTGGGTCACACACCCATTTGAGAATTGGATATAAGTCTTGGACTCTCCCCTGCCCCCAAGAAACACACAACACACATGCCCGTGCATGTCTGCAAACGTGTGCACCCACCTGTCGCATTCTGGGCCTCCGCGTGGGGCCACAGGCCTCTGCCTCCCACTATTATACCCCAGCTGGTGTTACGTTTTTAAATGTAAATGTAGTACTTTGACATGGATTTTCTTTTTCTCATTAAAAATTTTTTACGAATAGCATTGACTATAAGCAAAAGCAGACAATCGTATGAGGAATTCTAAATCCACCACTCAGATTCTCAGTTATCAAGGTTGTACTGTGTTTGCTCAGCATCGTTTTATTTCTTCTTCTTTTCTTCATTTGTTCGCATATTTAAGGCAGCTCCCTCCCAGCAGGCTCCTTCAGCCCTGCCCCTCCCTGAGAGCATGTGCCTGGGCACCACAGCCCCAGACCTGCTCTAGGAAATGCTCTCAAACTCCCAGGCGGAGCTCAGCCAGCTCTGCTCTGGCCAGTGTGGACAGTGAGGGGCAGGGAGCTCTGGCCTGGCTGTGCTAGCACTTCCCAGAGGGTCTCTGTCCCCTCTTGAAGTCGGGGTGATGCTTGACATACAGTGAAGGCAGCATAAAGCACCTGATGCGTGCTTGGAACCCAGGGACAGTGAAGAATAGGCATTATCACCATCCCTGGAGAAAATAACCTCATGCCAGAGGGAGTGTCCAAACTGCTACATGTCTATGTCAAGAAACAAACCAAGCTACCACCTTCCCCCAGGGGAGACCTCCTGGCAGACCCTGGGAGAGTCCTCAGCTCCCACCAGCTGCAGGAGTCCCACTACAGAGGAGGTGCTGACAGCAGTGTCCCAAGAGATAACCTGGAAATGAGGATGGTCCGTGCTAAAGCCTGAACAAGTCACTTAAAAAACCTGGCAAGATTCCACAGATGTAGCCAATCTAAAAAAAAAAAAAAAAAACAAAAAACAAAAAAAAACCTGGCAAGAAAGATGTCAGCACAGAGCAAAACACATAAGGCAATTAGATGGAAAAGATGCAAGAGGTGGAGGATAGATCCAAAAGTGAGTTAGGGAAGTTCCAGAAATAGACAAGGAGAAAGGCAGTAAGAAACATACTTTACTGAGATGATGACGAGAGTCTGAAGATTAAATGGGCAAGAAAATGATAGAAGACCCATGCCTGGGCATGTCCCAGTAAAATTCCTGAACTCTTGAGGTATAAAGAAAAACCTATAACCTTCTAGGCAAAACAACAACAAACTTACAAAGGAAAAAATGGCTGGCACTGTCATCTAAAAAAAGCTTCTATACACACTCAAGACGAACAGACACCTGAGCTTCCTATTCTGGCTGAGGGATGACTGGCCCGTGTAAACGGAAGACACTCCGAGTCTGTGTCACCTATCTGTCTCACCTGGATGAGAAAAACAACTTGGAAACAGCCAAACAGCAAACACGCTGAATGAGACCCTGGGACAGACTGGGCAGGTGAGGACTGCAGAGGCTGCGGCACCCAGCAGCGGGCCCGAACCCTGCATCAGGAGATGTGACCAAACCCTAGCAGCCCTAGAAAACACCTGCTGAGGAGGCTCAACGCTGCCAGGGGACCTGCGGTTTGTTTCAGCCGACACCAGACAGCAGACCACGGCTTCCTCTGGGAGCATTTACTGCAATTTGAAGTGAATGTACTTACAATTTTAAATATGTATCCCTGGCAACTTAGCACCTCTCTCGAGGACCTGAGAGCCCCTGCTTGGAAATGGAGTCTCCAGGAAGGAGGGGACAGCCCCCAACTGCAACGCCCACCAGTGCAGGGTGGCCTCATAGCCTTGACACTGACCAGCCCTTTGTCCTTTGAAAATGCTCAAATCACCTCTGCACAAAATGGAATGGAGCTCAGCTCGTTCCCAGATTTCAGTTGTTACTGAATAAAATCTGTTCCCACCACTTTAACACGCGGCTTTGTTTATCTCTGAGACAGAGGAGGAGGAGAGAAGGGGCAAGAAAAGGTGGGATGGCGGCAAATCAGACCCTGTGGGCAGACAACACCAAGGCACGCACACCAGGAGAATCAGGAGACTCCCAGTAAGAACACAGTGCCCCCATCAAGGGGTGAGGAAAGGACAGTGAGGTTTTCTGGAAGTCTCTGTAAGGTGGGGGAGGGAAACAGGGAGGAAGTGGAACATCCTGGGGAAATCCCTGTGGGTCTGATCAGAGAGCAGGGCGCAGAGAAACCACCCGTATGAGAACCGTTTATCCACTCACTGGCGACAGTCAGCACCCGCTCAGCCTGACGGGCAGAGCCCCACCCGCAGAAGACACTGCTGAAACTGCAGGACACGGCTGAGCCGGACAGAGACAGAGATGTGAAGAAGAGAGATAAGAGTGGGGATGGGGACACAGCCAGGAAATCTTGGACACAGGCTGCCTTACGAGGTCAAGTCCCATACAAAGTTGTAAGAAAAGAAAATAAAAAAGAGTATTATCTAAACATATAGACAAAGCATGACAAAAAGACAAGCCCACAAAACAGATAAACACTGTAGTTATCTATTTTAAAATGTGCTAAAATATATTAAGAAATGGCACAAGACAGAAAAGAATAACAGAAATCAGAATTAGAAAAAAAATCAGAAATAAAAAAATGTCAAAACAAAGATGAAGCCTGAAGGAAAACATGACAACTAAAGATAACAGATAAAGACTTAAGATAGAAGATGAAGAGGAGGGACATCTAAAACTCAAGTGACAACTACTGAAGACAAACAGCATATGGTGGGAACTGAGGTACAGAAGAAAACGCAAGGGACAAGAGCAATAAGGAAAACTACGATGCAAGAAAACTGTCTTTAAAAAAAAAGACTTGAAGCTACATATTGAAAGATACCTTGTACCTATGACTGTTGACCCACAACAACTAACATCAAGACTGTAACACATTGGACTTCAAAGAAAAATGAAAATATCTATTTTACATCTAGGCAAAAAAAGCAAGTGACGCCCAAGAAACTTGGATTATCACCAGCTCTGTCGACAGTAATGCTTCTTATTGCCATGTTCGTGACACTCAAGCAAAGAAAATGTGAGTCAACAGATTTTTTTTATCTAGCAAAAATGACTTTCAATTATAAAGTGGAAAAACTATGACCAAAAAGCAGGACTCGGGGAATACTGTTCCCAAGAGCCCTTCCTGAGGAGTCGGCATGAGAGCCAGCTGAGAAAACAGCATGAGCAGAGGGCATGGTCATGTGCACTGGCAGCGCACACAGAACACGGAGCTGCGCGTGGAAGTAAAACCACACGCGGTAGAGAGGAACAGGCACAGTGTGCAAAGGCTGCCCCTCGGGTGACACGGCCATGAGAAAAGGGGCCACTGGACTGACCACGTGCAAAAATCCTCCACTTGTTTCCAGGACTTACGCAGGGCGCCCACCATACTACCACTGTTCGTTTTGGGAATGTTCCGTGTGATGTGGGATAAAGCAAATTAGGGATTATGGGAAATTCTAATTCTGTCACCTCCTCTTCCTAAAGAATCAGGAATTTTGGTGTGGAATAAAGGAGATCCTGGTACATTATAAGAGAGTCTTAGTAAAAATCCTGCCATCCTGAGTTCGTCTTGGCTGTAACAGTAGGAACTCTGAGCTATTTATCTGTAAGTCCTAGCTCTGCTCACTGAAAAGGCCAACAAACAACTGCCCAGCAGCAGTGAAGCTTCCCTAGCACACAGATTGTGTTCTGGGAGTCTCAGAACTGACTGGGGGTCTCGGGTGGGAGGGGCAGAGTGAGCCTGGTGCTGCCACACCTGAGCGAGTAAGCCATCAGGCTCGGCAGCCCTGCCCAGAGGTGCCCGCTGGGCTCTGCTCACTGTCCCCGAGAGAGAGGAGGGCAGACAGTGCTGGGGAGGGCGTGGGTGAGCTGAGGGGGACGAGCACATGCAGACAAGAGGGGCTGAGCTTAGTTTTGGAAGGTCGAGGAGAAAATGTCTCAGGCAGCTGCTGACGATGAACTGGCAGGGGACGGTCTGTGCTGGGCTTACCTGGGGGATAGACCAAAGCCACATGGTCCCCAATGTTCAGTCTTCCCTTCTCCATCAGAGCTGCGGCCACTCTTTCAGCTCTTTTGTGCAGCTGGACACAGGTTGCAGTGCTGGTGACTGTGCCCTAGGAAAGCCATCAGGTTAGTCCACGTGCTGGTGAGTGCAGATGAGCCTTTGCCTCAGACGTGGGCACACACTGTGTTCAGCCCCCTGCAGCCCACGCCTGCGACCGGGGGCCAGGACGGGGCCAGTCACAGATGTGCAGCTGGTGTCTTTTCCAGCAATCTGTGTCCTCCCTCCAGCGGTGGAGGGTTGAGTTGCGTCTCAGGACAGCCCCAACTGAGAGCAGGAGTGTGGGCACCCTGCCCATCCAGGGGAGAGCCGGAAACACCCGATTGGAGATCTTTTTGATAAAATGTTTCAAGTATAACAACATTATAAAGAATAACGTAATAAATATCCAGGTACTCTTTATCTATTAATATTTGGCCATATTGTTTCAATTTTGATTTTTATAAAACAAATCATCGTTGTGCTTGAAGCCACCTGTAAACCACTCCCAAGTCTATCACCTCTCTCCCCAGAAGCAGCCATTATCCTGCATATAAATACAAATAAATAAATATTAAACAATAAGCAAACATCCCTAACCGATACTATTTTGCACGTGTAAACATCACATACACCAAGCCTGGACCTGTGTTGTTCTGCAACCTCCTTCTCAGGAGCCTGAGAGTCTCCCTTATGGCTGCACCGGTTCATCCCCTGCGGAGGGCTGTCTGGGCTGCGTGAGCAGCCTGGTGCACACAGAAACACCTTGTAACTCCTCCCTCTGCTCTGTGGACTCACCCTCCCTGATCCCAATGCCAGGCCTCAAAGCTGCTTAAGGAAACAAAGTGCAACTCAGCCTAATAATCAGAAGTCTCCGGGAGAGACCAGTGTAACATCTGGGTTGGTGCCTCTCCCGACAGCAGACACTGGAAGCAGCAGCCAGTGGCTTCACCTGCGTGCTGTGCCCAAGCACAAGGGCTGGCAGATCCTGAGAGCCCACATTGCAGAAGCCTTGCCAGTCCTTGTGAGCCAGATCCCACTATACCGTTGGGGAAAACCCAGCGCCTCCAGCCTCATCGCTGTCCCCTCCCTAGGCCACCTGGTCCCTGCCATGCTGGCCTCCTCTGCTGCCTCAAGCCCACTGGCACCACTGCCTCAGAGCCCCTCCCCAGCACTGTGGGTCACATTCCCCACACCACTGATCCTGAGGGCCTCGCCTCATGCCGTTTACCTGGTCTACTGTTAATCGTTGGCTCTCTGAAGGCTTTAGAACTCGACTGTAAAATGAACGTTTACTGAACACTGTTCTAGATGCTGCCAATATGCCGGCGATCGGGAAAGACAGCGTGTCTCTCTCCTACAGAACTTGTTTCTAGCAGGGAAGAGTTATTTCCCCATCGTTTTTATCTTACATAACACTGTGCACACAGTAGGCATCAATAAACATTTCTTGAACAAAGGAGCAAGACTGGAAGCTAGACTAGCACTTTCTCAGTCCGTAGCGACCCACCCTTCACTGTGTGGGAGCTCAGGGTTCCTACAGTCTGCGCAATGCAGGCCACAGGGAGTCTCACAGGACCTTCGTTATTATGTAACTTCTTATGTTTTCTTGTTTTGTAGTCCTGCCACAATGTGGATATGAGGACCACAGCTTCTTCACATCCTAAATGCTCCTAGTATAGTCTAACGCATGTCAACAGGTATTCAAGATACACAAGTGTGAATTTCTAAATCACCAGATTACAAAAAAAAGCAGTATTTATCATTTTAAAGCTGTAAACAAATGCAGACATTCTAAATGCCTAATTTTTACAAAATAAGCATTTTGTAAATATTCACAAACATTTTGTGAATGTTACATTTTGTAAATCAGCTCACAAACTTAGAAGTATTTACATGTATTACACTGCTCTTAATTTAAAAAGATGGAGCTGATCAGAATTGTCCTGCTAAATACAAAATCAAGAGAGACACTCTTGTGTGAATTGTGCAGAGCGCAAGGGTTCAACAGAGAAGAGGGCAGGCAGAGAGACTGCCCCGGACAGTCTGCAGGCGCACTCTTCTCTGAACATGACAGTAACCAGAACGCTGAAATAGCCACTGGACCAGCAATGGCCCCCAACCCATAGGCAGCAGCCCTCCTCACCTTGGCATTCAGCAGCAGAAACAGCGGGTGGTCAGGAGTGGTGTGGGCCCTCCACTGCAGCACGTCGGCCAGGAACAGGAACTGTGCAGAGAGGGCAGCTCAGTCACTGGCAGCCCTGAGTGGGGGTCTTGATGCCCAACCCCAGGAACGGGCCTGTCACCTTCCGAGCCTGGTCGCTGTCCTCCAGGTGGGCAAGCTCTCTCCCAGAGGCCTGCGCGATCCTCTTCCCAGCAACCAGGTTTCCCACAATCATGGAGGCTGGTCCCACCTCTAGAAACAGGGGATCTGGATGAGAAGCTGATGACTTCTAATATTTACTCATCATGTGACCTCCTCTCCGTCACACTTTTTATTTTGAAAGCATACTTGAATTAAGTGTTTAATTCTTCTACTAAGATACAAGTATTCAGAAAAAGAACTACAGGGTTTATGCTAAGTGACAAAGAATTTCTGTCTTAAATATAAATTATAACATATTAAGAAGTTTACTATATGACAGACATCTTGGGGTTATGATTTGGCCTCAGTCACAGCCAAATTCTTAATATACTTTATTGTTTTACTGTATTTTATGTATAAATCAGGAAATTAAATCTTCCTAGTGGAATATTTAGTGATATTTTAAGTGTTTCGTAATTAGCAAAAGTCAGCAGGTACTAAAAATCTACATAATCAAAAGAATGAAAAAATGCACATGTTAGTTAAACCAGTGTTTAAAATTAACTTTAAATGTCTGAAGTCAGGGAAGGGAAATTGACCATTTGTCAAGAGACTTCCAAGGTCGGTGGCAGCTGCCAGGGCCGACACGAGCCCTGGCTCCTGAGCACAGGCGTGGCCTGCTGCCCGGCACAGTGGCTGGCAGAGGCACTCCATGTCCCAAAGCTCCAAGTCTGCTCTGAGCCAAAGCCGAGATGCTGCCCCTGAGCATCCTGGAATTTATCATTAAAACTGGGTCAAACCGGCAGTGGAAACTCCCACACAGGTGAGGTGGCAAAGCTCTCTCGTCTGTGGCTCGGTTGGTTCTAGGATAGCAGGAGGCAGCAACCAATCTGGTGAGCATGTGCTCTGGTTCTCACCCAGCCTGCAGACATGGCAGTGACTGCTGTGGGGCTGACGGGCGCTTCCCTGACCAAGCTTCACAGCCATTGTCCATTGTTTGGCTGGAGAGACTAACCTGGCTGTTTCTGACGAGGCTTGGGAAGGTTGGTGACACAGGTGTGCGGGCACATCAGCACGTTACACGGGTGCAGTGTCCCTTCCAGAAAGCGCTGTTTGGTCTCGGAAATGTGAATCCCTCCAAGAGGAGCCTTGGGCAAGGTGTTGGCAGGAACCAGGGCCAGACAGTACACGCCCACCTGGTGGATGCTGTCGATGGCCTGGAAGGGAAGGACCCTGCTGAGGACCTGCCACCACTTGAGGCTGGTGGGACACTGGCAAGCACCACCATCTCCAGGAGATGGAGTGACCTCTGACATTACGTTAAATGAGGAAACAAGATGGAGAGGAGTGCATGCAGTTTCCTACCATTTAACACAGAGAGGGGAGACACACACACCAAGTCTGTGCACATGCGTACATAAATCTGTGCCTAGAGGGTAAACGTGGTTACTGGTGGCTGGGGGGCAATGGGGAGATGATGGTTAAAGATCCAAAGCCTCAATTAGACAGGAGGACTAAGGTTTTTTTTCCTTTGAGATACACTGCACAGACTGATGCATATAGTAAATAATAATGTATTGTACTAAAAGTAAATTTCAAATGTCACCATCAAAAATTAGTATTTGAGGTGATGGATACATTAGCTTGATTTAATTATTCCGCATTGTGCTCAGAAATCATACCATCACTTTGTACCCCATAAATACATACAACTATAAATTATCAATTTATAATTTAAAAAATTAAAGTAAAAAATAAAACAAGCTGGAGAAGGCAGGCGGGTGGAGCAGGCACCGCACTCTGCACTCGGCGGGACGGGGCACTGCAGGCTGTGCCTGGGTGCCCACCTGCAGCACGCGGCTCATCCACTGGAAGCTGTCCTCCTCTGAGGCGTCGGGCCGCTGCTCTGCCACCAGGACGATGCGGTCATCGTGCAGGACGGTCACAGAGAACACGGCGATCCTGAGGGAGGAGACGGCGGGAATGGCCACGTGGCAAGAGGCCAAACAAGACACAGACACCTTCTTGGCCTCAAAATGGGAGACACAGGCTGTACTAATATTTAAAATTCAGTCTAACAAATGGGGCTGCCTGCCCCACAAGTAGCCAGTCGTTCTAACCTCTGAGTGTGGCTGAAGGAAGTTTCAATTCACAAAAATGGAGAGCACTTCAATGCAAAGCAAACAGCCAGGCACACATTGTTAAAAGAATATTCTGTTAAAGTTTCCTTAATCTAATATATGCCATATACTTCTTTGTGCACAAATCTTTGTTTAACAGTTTTATTAATTATATTTTTTAATTCAACAGGTTAAATCTCTCACTATAGTTGATCTATTCCTGTTCATTGTGACTGGTATACTTGGACTTGTTTCTACCATCTTGTTTTCAGAATTTCAACATGTCCTTCTTTCTGTGTTGCCTTTTTCTTCTTTTAGACTTTGAGTGGATCTCTCTACCCTTCCCTTACAAAATAAGCCGGTCTCCCCAGCTAAGCTGTCAGGTCAGCATGGCCATCATGGACACACCTCTTGCTCTTTCCTTTGGCTGGTATATATACACACACCCCTGCAAACATACACACATGTGCTTTAAACAACAGACTTCTACCATTATTGAATTTTTCTTACTTCCATGTATCTCATAGCATTCCCTGAATTTCTTTTTTTTTAGTACTTTGACCAAAAGTGTTTTTGATATAGATCTTTTTGTGACAGAACTTCTGATATTTATATGCCTGAGAATATTGTTTATTACTGCACAATTTGGGTAAATATAAAACTGAATTCTGCACTGCCATCCCGCACAGCTCCACCGTGGGGCAATCTGATGCGTTCTGCTTGGCTGTTCTGCGGTGCACAGTGAGGATGTCGACTTACTCGACGTGCCGTGGTGCCCTCTGAGGACCTGTCCCCAACCAGAGAGCTTCGATCTGCTTCCTCAGGCTCTCCCCCTCCTCCACTCCCCACTGCACCCATCTGCTGTCTGGATGGCCCCTTCTCTCCCATTTCCTAACTAGTTCTCTTAAAGTTCCTATTTCTTTACTTCTGGAATAGTTCCTTAATCTGACTTTCCACCTTCTCAATTGGTTCTCTAGCTATATCCATTCTATTATCCCATCTATTGTGTTCTTGTTTAAACAATTACTTTGTTAGAACTTTTTTTTTTTCTTTTTTTTTCTTCTTTTTTAGTCTTAGAAAACTGATGCATAAGAACTTCTTGATCTTACTTCATGATGCTAATATTCTTGGCCCCGGGCTGTGGCCAACCTTCCCCCCCACCCCCCACGCACACGTACACACACGTGCACACAGGCACATAGCCTGCCTGCTGGTCTCCCTAAGAGGGCATCTCATGTCCCTGCCACCCACCCTCTGGGGTTTTTCTTCAGGAATACCCTGGAGGGCCAGCAGCCCATGGTGACCTGCCTTACAGGTACCCAAATTTGAGTAACAAGCACCCCTTTAAGAAGAGTAAAATTTTAAAAGGGGGCTGAGTGGACCAATTAGAAGAAATTCCTTGTACACAGCACTCAGGAGGAGGAGGAGGGACGAAATCCTCTCCTGGCTACTATGCCATGTGGCACAGGCCCAGAGGTCCGTTTATTTGCTCAAAGGAAATGAGAATCTCTAAGATCCTTGCTTAACACATGCAGAAAAGTTTAATTGGTTTTTTATTCCAGCAGCAAGGTAGGGTATCATGCATGTCTCACTGAAGCTCAGTAGAAAAAACAATCAGCCTTTGGTGATTTCATAGAGGAAACAGTAATTCTCTGTTTTAATCTGTATGTATATGGTTATCATGAGCCTGGACCCATTTCTCCCCTGTCACTGTTCACATTTCCCCTCTGTGGTTCATCTGTCCCCTGGATCCTTTACCTAATTACACATTTGAACCTTGTTTTCTTAAAGAACTATTTTATTTATTTATTTATTTTTTTGAGACAAGGTCTCACCATGTCACCCAGGCTGGAGTGCAGTGGAGTAATCATAGCTCACTGCAACCTCGAACTCCAGGGCTCAAGCGACCCTCCTGGCTCAGCCTCCCAAAGTGCTGGGACTACAGGCGTGAGCCACCGCGCCTGGCCTGAATAAACTCTTTGGACAGGGAGGACATTAACTCTGGTATGATTTCTGCAAATATTTTTCTTTCTCTTTATGAGTTTTTCTGATGTACAGAAATTTGTAGGTTCTTCAAATTCAAATTTACTGGGCTTTCCTTCCACTGCAGATAGACTTCTCAAACTTTCAGTGGAGAAGGAATCTAAAACCCATAGCACAGGGACCCGCAGCGCATCACCTGCCTCTGTAGACAAACTTCATGGGCTCCACGGCCAATGCGGTGGCCACAACGTCATCTGCGTTATGTCTGCGAACTCCAACAACCATCAGCCCATCCAGCTTGCCCACCACGAACACCAGGTTATCCTGAGGGCAAGGGTGCTGGTCAGCATTTGGCCCATGAGGGCAGGTGCTGGAGCTGCAGGCCAGGCCCCACTGCAAGGCGCTGCCAGCACAGGAACATTGAGCACGTCACAAACAGAAGCCAAATGAGCAACATGCACCCAGTAAGAAGCCTCACCCAGGGCAGGGGTGGCAGGCTGTGTGGGAAGAAGGGTGGCTGCGGAGGGGCAGCCAGGGAGTCATCAGCATGAGAAAGGCTCAGAGGTGAGCCTCAAGTTGTGGGTGAGGTTTGCAAAGGACTCCGAGAACTCCTGGGCTGAGACATGCTGGCAGGTGGTGTCCTGGGTACTGCCAGGTGGTGAGCAGCACTCCCAGCTTCTAGGTGCTCACCAGATGCCAGGAGCACTCCCCTCTCCTGAGTTGTGACAACCAAAAATGTTGTCCGCTAGGGAGGTGCAGGACAAGATTTCCCAGTTGAGAGCCACTAGGGCCAAGATGTTACAAATAGAAGTATTTGTTTTAAAATGTTTTAGACATCCAAAATGGTAAAGAATGTTATAATGAATACCCAAGTTCCTGGCAACCCACATAAGGAACAAAACATTATCACCCACCAACAGGACGCCACTGAGGACCTGTGTGTGGGTCTGTGGCTGGTCCATAAGCGTGGACGGCCCTGCACACTGAGGAGGCGATGGGCAGGGAGGTCAGGGATGGCTTGACTGCAATAGGGCATCCCTTATCCACGCCCCTGCACCCCCAGCTGCCGGCGCTGGTGCAGAAGGGCATACTCACAGGCCCGACGAAGCCCAGCAGGCCCGTCCTGGTGAAAGGCCTATCGGAGACAGGCACCCCTCCTGCGGTGACCGGAACAGTCTGCAGAGTGGGGGAAGGGGGAGTGGGCATCAGGCTGCGGAAGGTCAACCCATGTTTCTGGGGAGGGGAGGAGGCCGCCCAAGGGCCAGAGGCTCTGGGCTCGCACGGCTCAGCTTGGCCTTCCCCAGCCTGCTTCCTTTGGCAGCTGTTCTGTACACTCCCGAACAAGGTAGGACACCGCATCCTTCGCCTTTGGATTCCCAGCACCTGGCCTTGCTAGCACCACAACAACGCAAACGCAGCAGAGGGCTACTTCCCTGGGGCTGCCTTGAGGGCCTTCCTGCAGGCCAACTCACCACGCCCTTCTCCCGCGCAGGACTGCAGGACGCAGGCTGGCTGGCTGGCAGCACTGGCCCCGCCCCACTCTGGTGGACAGGTGCAGAGGTGCACTGCTGTGTTGCCACAGCTCCTGAAGGCCTGCATGGGACACCCTGTTCCCAAGGAGTCTGCTCCCCGCATGGCACCCTGCACACCTGGGGCCCCGTCAATGCTCAGGGGACTTAATTTCAATGTGAGAGTCAGAAAAAGTACAAACCTCAAATACATTCTTGGTGATTCCAAGCAATCCATAATATGCTGTTCCAGTTGCGCTGGAACTGACACATATTTCTCCAACTTCATCAGTTTTACAAAGATAAGGGGCACCGTCTACCTTCACAACACATACGTTGGCTGAAAAGAGGAAAAAAATCCTCAGAATCATAAACAAAGAATACATTGGAGCTCATTCACGAAGATCTACTTGCTGCTGTATTTGCCGTTATGGAAACAGGACATCATATAAGCGGTGTGTTCTCATAAGTAGAGTTATGACATGGATAATACACATGCTACCTAGTCAAAAGCCTTTATATTTTATATATAATACTTTTATAACCAATGTGAAGTGATTAAAAATACAATATACCCTTCCTATAATAACTGACAAAATCAAGCTGACAAAATCTTCCCTCTCAGATATGCAATTTGTGGCATCACCTTCAAATCCACATGGGTGTGGGTGCGTGCAGTCTGACCTGGCACCTGGGATCACCGCCTGTGTCATTCACCCGTTTCGTTCCCAGCCCTGGCCCCAGCAGAGAGGCTTCCGGAAACAGCCTCGCACAAAAGCATGAGACACACACTGGAATGTGCAGTGGTCACTCAATGAAACTTGGGCACTCAGCGATCAATTAACACATGGGTCAGCTAGGAACTGTCCTGCCATGCCTCCTGAGTTTTTCCTAATGTATGCTCATCTCCAAAGATATTAAGCAAGCAGAAAATGGAGAACAGTCAGGCATTTGTTTCCATTCACACAAATCAGATAAAAGACACTGCAGAGGGAACGCTGAGGTGCTCGCTGCGTGAAGGGTGTGGAGGGTGCTGCTTATCTGCGTCTCATATCCAGGCAGGCCTCAGCGCCACTCACAGACACTCACAGGTGAGCACAGGCTGGATTTAAGACAAAAAAAGGGCACAATTCACCAAAAATTCACTTGATGTTGTGGTAAACACAAACACCATGTGGCCAATGCAGAGGAAGGTGGTACAACCACTGAAGACAAGATGCCATCAGGATTCACTGTGCTGGTCAGTCCTCCAACTAGGAGCATGGCCAGGGGCTGTGGAGGGCCACAGACAACAGAGGCCCACCCACGGGAGCGCTACGTGTGCACACACCTACGGGAGCACTGCGCCCATGCCTGGGGACCACGGAATGCATGCCCTGTCCTGTTCTAATCCTCGTTTTACCAATAAAAGAAAATGGCACAACTACGAATACTCCTAAAATTTTTCACCAAACTTTGTTAGAGTTACCTGTACTTTCCCTATAATAAAAATAAGTAAGACTCCATTCATCACTATTTGTAAAAATGTTTAACACACAGGTTCAAGCATTCTCTAAGACTGATGACGCCATCTCTGGGTAGACGTATAGGAAATAATGATATAATTCATATTAATAAAAAGTAGATCTAGAAACAAAAGTTTGAAACCTCCGGTCTTTATTTTATTTTACTTTCTTCATCAACTCTTAGCACCATGCAATGAAAAGAAAACCTCCAGTCTTGTTCAAAGAGGTCCCAATTTCTGTGCACCCACAACGATCAGGTACCACCTGGCCCGAGCTCTAGGTTATGGGCTGTCCAGGATGCCCTCTCTGGAGCCCCCAGCACAGCCCCCAAGTTGCCCATGGCCACCTGTGGGAGGCAGAGCTACAGACACGAAGGCCACGTGGTGTAGGCAACCTATGACATGGCCAGGCCGGCATTGGGCACAGGGACACTGGACTGAAGATGGGACCTGCCTTGAGAGTCACCAAGAAGGAACAAAACAGCTGCCCAGAAAGGCTGCCATGAGAAGAAAGGAAAGCCAGAGCAGGTGTAGACCACATGAGAACAGCCAACCTTGCTGTCACCAGGGCCTGCCATCCTCAGGTTTCACACCTACATGGAGACTGCTCCGTCACCTTCTCCTCACTGCACTGCCATGGGGCTGGCAGGAAAATGCCCAACACCTGGTATGATGTTCAGGCCCATGGGGCCGACTTCTGCATGAAGGTCCCTCAGGGCCTGTCTGAAACCCACAGAAATTGAAGAGAAGCTTCCACATTAGGCTCCCACCATAGCATGTACTTTCTATAACTTACTGAGATGACCTAATCATCAGGCTATCCATCATGTCCCTCATCGATGCCCACTTCATGGGGTTGCCGTGGGTTCACGCCTGTTGAAGCACAAAGACTGTGCCTGGAGCGCAGTGAGCTACTCTCACATCTCCCCCAACATCAGAGAACCAAAAGCCAGCCTCACAGGCCATAAACACATCCTTATATTTTAGTTCATCCTTAAACTTAATAAAAAGGGAGGGAAACATTGGAAAAATATTTTACAAATTAAAACCCCAATTTACATTGAAAAACACTTTTGAGAAAGCTTTTACTTATTTGCTTGCTTCTAGAGCACCACTGCAAAGCCCGGGGCATCTCCGACCCTCTTTGTTATGCTGTTGGTCACCAGACAAACACACCCTGTCTCTTACCTCCAGGCATCACTTGACCAACGTCCTGAACAGTAAGGACGGACAACTTTTCCTCGGTGTCAACTCTGATCACACCATAACTCAGACCGTTCATGGACAGGATGGCTTTTCTTGGAGGAGGCCCTCCCAGATCAGGTGGCCTAGAAAACAAAACCACCACCCAGTTAACTGGGGAGGGGACACAACTCCAGGGGAGAGGGGACCAATGGTCCCCTTGCCTGGGGCACAACTATGCACCAAAGCCACTGCTCCATGTAACAGCCTGTGGAAACTACACGTTCTGAAGATGCTGAGACAATGTGTCCAAACCACAGGCCTCTCTGTAATGTGACTTCCACACTCCTCTCGTCTGGAGGTGGCCTGTGACTACAGAGCAAGTGACACTATGTGACTTCCAAGGCAGGTCATGAAAGGTGACTTAGCTTCCACCTACTTGTTTTGGGACACCCGCCTGCAGCCCTGGGCAGCCAGGTTAGCAGAGTCACTGTGTTGGGGCCACCATGCTGTAAGGAGCCCAGACCAGCCCACTCTCCCCACTTCGAGAGGCCAAGGGCTGCCTGTGCACACATAGAGCTAAAGCAGTCTCAGCCCCCACGGTTCCAGCTCAGACAACACCTCACTGTAAACTGGAACTGACAGAGCCTCTCCCAAAATCCTGGCCTACAGCACGTGAGAGATAATAAAATGACTGTTCCTGTTTTAAGCTACTGAGTTTGGGAGTGATTTGTTATGTAGCAATAGTAACCAGAATACTGAGCAACAAAGGTCAGTATTTTCTCCAGCAAGAAAAAATTATATTGTTGAAGGCTGGGTGCAGTGGCTCATGCCTGTAATCCCAGCACTTTGGGAGGCTGAGGCAGGAGGACCTCTTGAGGCCAGGAGTTCAAGACCAGCCTGGACAACAGAAAAAACCATACTGTCAAGCAAAATAAATTACCATAGAACAAGGGAATGAAGAAAAATTTTTAGTTGGTGAGGGACAGAAGCATTATTTTTAATGTTAAGTCATAAAAAATTTACGGCACTTAATACCAGCATATATGTAAATACATTCTATTTATGAACTAATGGATATATATGAATATCATATAAAACTACAACAGATTGTAACGACTGAGTTGAGGGTAGGAAGTTAGCATAGAAGACGCCCCCAGCTGTAAGTACACTGACTTGCACCAACGGGATGGTACTGAGTGCAGGGAGTCGGGGAGAGAGGATCAGGGAAGGCAGAGTGAACCAAGGACAGAGCGAGCCACGGCCTGAGGTGCCACATGGCCGCAGAAGGCCACACAGGAAAGACCCTGAGCCCAGTGCCCACATACAAGGACAGCTCAGGGTAGTCTCCAGGCTTCCAAACACCACCCTCCAGGTTGGATGGGTGACACATGGAAAACAGCCTCAGAAGCAGGGGGGGCCTTCACGGGGAGTGGCGCTGGGCACTGAGCACCAGGCGGGCGCTTCTTCAGGCAGGTCACAGTTCCCTGTGGACCAACTCCATGGCCGACAGTCACCTGCCTTGGAATGAGGACTAGTCCCTGGATTACAATGTTTACTATAGCTAAGAATGAGATGACCAGGCCTCAGTGATTTGGGAAGCAGCACTTAGGAAAATAACAAGTCAACATAACTGCAAGAATCCAGAGTATGCCCCAGGGAGCCGCCACCCAACTCCCAGCACAAATGCAGGCTGGTGAGCAGCGTGGTGTGAGGGGGTGGCGCTGCGGCACAAACACGAGGGAGTCCTGGCACAGTGGGGCTTGGGGACGGCTACTTCAGGCTTCCCACTGTGCAGAAACAGATTAACCAAGTTCGGTGCCACAGGCGACTCAGCTGTATGCAGCAGACTAAATTACATACTCGCAGGATGACAAGGAATGAGGTTACCTGCGGATGGCGACTGTCAGCGCCTCAGGAGAGCTTGCACAAGGACAGATGACCTCTGGCCTCAGACCTCGGGACTGGAAGACGTTGAGGAAGGCGTCACAGGAGGATATCGACCCTGCTTGAAGCAACAAGGTTGGAGTGCCAGAGGCAACTGGAGTGCCAGTCGGGAATGGGGGTGGTGGGGGTGGGGAGGTCAGTCACTGGCACCTAAAGGCACAGGCCACGGGCCAGGGGGCTGTACACATTGACCCCCCTCCATCCTAATGGAAGATTTCTGCTACATCATGTTTCCATGAAACACATGTGACATATTTTCAAATCACCTGCAAATCAGAGGTTGGAAATTTAATCCTGTGTTTCTTACCGAGCTTTAACTCATCACCAGCCCTGCCCTACCCTGCCTTCTCTTGGACGGGGCCAGTGGGAACAGCCTCCTGTGCTTCATGGCCTGGAGGCAGCAGAGTCTGCTAAGGGACCCGGGAATGTCCAAGGAGCCGAAGCTTCCACGTCCCACCAAAGCCAGGTCGGGGCATGCTCCATGGCACAGTGAGCGCCAGCTCCTAGAAGTGGCCTCAGAGCTAGACCGTCTGCACCACTGGCTGCCGCCTCTGTGTTCTGGCTCCAGCTGTCCCACTTCTCCCAATTCCCCCTCCCCTGAGGAGGCACCTGTCATAGCCAGGGGGCAGGCCTCAGCAGTCAGCCTTACAGACATGTAGCCTCAGCTCCAAGGAAGCTCTGCACGCTTGGGACTCAGCACAGCCCTGTGCCCACTGGGACCCAGGCTTCTCCATCAACCTCCTATTCCACCAGAAGAAGGGGGCCCTCAGACTTCATGCTTTTCAGGCAAGAGGGTGTCTGTCTTTTATGGAACCAAGATAGCCACAGACTGCTCAGTGCTATGAGGGATGCACCGGTGCTACACAGAGGCCAGTGGTGGGGAAGCTGTGTGGACCGCATGGCCAGGATCTCAGCAGGGGGCAGCCAGTGGGGAGTGCTGTGGGAGGAGAAAGCTGTGGGAGGAGGGGCTGCATGCTCTGACCCCACTGCAGGGGCCACAGCCAAGCAGGCGACCAGATGGCCAGGGCCGCTGAGAAACTAGGCAGAATGACAGTGGCCGGGCAAGGGTGGAGCTACAGAGGCGTGAGCAGCGCCGCAGGGCTCAGAGGCAGACCCTGTGTGGCCAGGTGCAGACAAAGGGAATGGGAAGCTCTGGAGGTGCTGGAAGGTGGGGCGTCCTCAAGAGAAGTGGGGTACACAGAGACACACTGGCTGGCCACACTGGGGAGGAGGTAAGATGAAAGGCCAGCTTCTGGTCCAGGGCGATTTCCAACGCACAAACTGCAACATGGGCTCAACAAGAAAACTCCTACCACCTGGTTAGGTGTAAGGAAGTCCCTGCTCAGCATGTCACTGAGGCCCCCAGGATACTGAGCAGGCCCTGGGCAGTGCTGGCCCCAAAAGCTCACACTTGCAGCCTCCACACGAGCAGCTACACCCAGACTGCTGTACAGGGAGGGTCGGGTGCTCAGGCAGCAGCCCTGGGGAGCTCCCCATGGGAGGACGTGGGGGCCGCCCAGGCACGTGTAGGAAGAACGGCCGCAGCCAGAAGCCAGACAGGTGGAGGCACAGAGGCAGGAGGCTTGGGACAGAGCCCAAAGAGAAGCAGGGACCCTGATTTCTCAGGAAAGGTGACTCATTAAGGTGTGGATCTTTTGTCAACTATGATAAACTGCTGTTAAATGTAGTGCCTGACTAAACACTCACGAGATACGCCAGAGAGTCCCCCACAACATGTTCCATGTAACAGAACATTACAGGACATTTGTATCTCATATAACACCAGCAGTGGAAACGCCCCCATTTTTCCTCTCCACATGCTCTGTTTCAGCAGGTTGCCTGGCCCGCCTGGCAAGTCAAGGTTGCAGGAGGGACACCATGCAAGACGGTGCCCTCGGCCCCGTGGGCTTACTCACATGGGTTAGCGCCATCGGCCACAATCAGCATGCGCAGCGAGCTGAGGCTGACGTCCCTCTGACCTCGCTGAGCTAGGAGAGACCAGTGCATGTCGCGGGACTTCACCAGTGCAGCCCGGGCTGCAGAGAGAGGGTGGCACAGACGTCCCAGCTTCAGAATGAGGGCCGGCACCTCATGTGCTGGCAAACACGTGCTTCCCTCATCCCACACGAGGTGCACATGCACCAAGGAGACACGAGACTTACCTTCCAGGCCACAGGCTCTCTCTCCTATGTAGTCTAACCCACCCCTAAGCCTTGAAAGTCAACTTTGAGGTATAATTTAGATACAATAAACTGAGAACTTTAGACTTTTTTGGAAGATGAAAAGAAAAAAAAAATTAAAAAGGAAAAATAAACTGAAAACCATTTCTTTTTTCTTTTTTTTTTTGGAGACAAAGTCCCGCTCTGTCGCCTGGACTAGAGTGGCGCGGCATCACTGCAGCTCACTGCAACCTCAAACTCCTGGGCGCCAGGGATCCTCCAACCTCAGTCTCCTGAGTAGCTGGGAGGACAGGCACATGCCACAATGCCCAGCTAATTTTTTTGTTTTTCTACTTTTAGTAGAGACAAGGTCTCACTCTTGCTCAGGCTGGTTCAAACTCCTGACCTCCAGCAGTCCTCCTGCCTCAGCCTCCCAGAGTGCTAGGATTACAGGCATGAGCCACTGTGCCCAGCCTCAGATCCATTTCAACATTAACTTTTTCCCCAGAAGTTCCATATTGCTCTTTACATATCTGCCTGTTTTGTCTTGTGCTGTCCCTTCCTGAATTGTTGGCACTGGTGTAGCGAGGCAGCCACGTCATGGCCTGCTTTGTGCCGGAAGCCACAGGGCTGTAAGGTGGGAAGACTTTGGGATTTGAATAGACAGAGTTGGCCCTTAATCCTGGCTGTGCACTGCTAGCCTGTGGTGCCAGGTAAATCCTCCACACCTAGGCTTCAGTTTCCTCCATAAAACAGGATAAACAGACAGCTGCCACCTCCAGGTAGCTCTGAAGAAACGCCCCGAGAGCACACTATCCAGCAGGCAGAGCAAGTCGTAGGGCAGCCCAGGGCAAGGCAGGGGCTGGGGAAGGAGCTGCTGAGCTCCACACAGTATAGCTGGGGGCTCAGTCCCTGGGTAAGAGGAACAGGGCCTAGAATCCACCGGGTGGCCACATCTTTCCTCATCTGTCCTAGACTGCATCGGGCCCCTGACAGCTAGCAGGACTTCGAACACCCCTACGCCCAACCCTGGCCATGACCTCGAACACCCCCACACCCAACCTTGGGCAGGTCATCGAACACTTCCACCCCAACCCTGGCCAGGACCTCGAATACCCCAACCCCAACCCCAGTCAGGACCTCAAACACCCATCACACCTACCCTGGCCAGAACCTCGAACACCCCCACGCCCAACCTTGGGCAGGTCATCGAACACCCCCACCCCAACCCTGGCCAGGACTTCGAACACCCTCACCCCAACCCTGGCCAGGACTTCGAACACCCTCACCCCAACCCCGGCCAGGACCTTGAACACCTATCACCTCAACCCCGGCCAGGACTTTGAACACCCCTACTCCTACCCCGGCCAGGACCTCGAACACCCGTCACCCCTACCCCGGCCAGGACCTCGAACACCCCCACGACAACTCCAGCCAGGACCTCGAACACCCCCACCCCAACCCCAGCCAGGACCTCGAATACCCATCACCCCAACCCCAGCCAGGAGGACCTCGAACACCCATCACCCCAACCCCAGCCAGGACCTCAAATACCCCCACCCCAACTCCAGCCAGGACCTTGAATACCCATCACCCCAACCCCGGCCAGGACCTCGAACACCCCCACCCTTGGGCAGGATGAAGGCAGATGTCCCAGGGCTCCACAGCCCATATCCGTAGTTCCACATGCCAGCTTTATTTTTTCTTAATCATCAAAGATCATTTCAAGAGTGTTCCCTAAAGAAGGATGAGTCAAGTGATGGTGGCATTTCTGTTACCTTTATAGGAACACACTTTCTGAATCCAGGAGAGCGGGTTGACTTTCATCAGTGCGTAGGGGATGCTGACCACATGCATCCTGTTCAAGACACTCTGCGAGAGAAACAGACCCACTCAGGGGCAAGCAGGACTAAGTCACACAAGAAAAAGCAAAACACCCAATGTCCTCTCACAGCAATATTCAGGCACAGGCTTGGGCTCATCTCTGGGTATAACACATTAGCAATGCCTTCTTCCAACAATTAGTCATTAGCAAACAACACTCACTGTTAACACTCCATGCCAGAGACCAGCATCTCTTTTGAAATCCAGCACATTTGTTAATGTTTCAGCTGAAAGTGGACAAAGAAGGTTAAACTGCTGAACAGCTCTCCCCAAAAGCCCTGTGCATGTTCTTGAGAAATTCTGAGCACATCATTGACACGTATGAGTTTTAAGGAACAGATAAGCATTTCTAAATATCAGGCACCAATTAATCAATCATTAATCAGTTATTCAGATTACTGGGAACACATAAAAATAGAAGGTCATACAATCTTGGACTGAAACAGGGAACCATGCTCATTACTAATCTGAAGATATGGGGAATACCATACGCTTACAAAGCTGTGAAGGTGTCACTACATATTTTCATCAGATGTTCTGAGTGGATGTTCTCTTCAGAACCAGGAGGTGAGGATGAGAAACTGCCATGGACATTCTTACTTCTCAACTTCCTCGCTAATCCTCACTCCCAGGGGCTGGGACCTAGTCTCTTCCCTCTGTAAGAGCTGGAGGCTCGTGTCACCCTTGAGAAAGTCACTCCTCTTGTCCTGTTTTCTCATCCAGAGGTGTGCAGTAGGTATGTCCCAGGGGCTGGAGTGGACTGGGCTCCGGGGGTCCCCAGCACAGCCCCCTGCTTCCAGCGAGGACAGAGCCCGGGGTGGGGGCAGACCTGCCTCTCCCCGACAGCCACTGCAGCCCTCGGACACAGCCACTGGCAGATACCCAGGTGAACAGGAGGGTCTGGCTGGTGAGCCAGGAACCGCTGCTGCACCACGAACGACACTCCAAACACCCTGCTGGCGCAAGAACCCAGTGCACAGGTGATTTACGTGAGATTTGCACTGGACTGAAGGAAAAGAAAACCATGGGCCTTGATCTGATGGATCTAACTTTTTAAAATATTAAAGCCTTTAAAAACATCTAAAATCATTTTCCAAATCTCTACTAAAATCTCTAGCTGTGCCCTCAAGCTACCGCTTGCTTTTAAACACCTATATTTCAGAAATTGAACATACCATTCAATTTCATTTCCTAGTTTTGTTCAATTTAATATTGTAATGTAAAAAACTATAAGTACATTTTTACAGTTTTAAAAATATTTCCCACAAAATAATTGGGTACAATATATATAATTATTATTTATCAATTTGAAATAATATTTTAAATTTAATTTAAAAATAATTTTAAAATATTTTTAAACATCTGATATTTAACAGTAAACCAGGGCTGCATGTAATTTATTGTACCAAGAGATAATCTATGATCATAAAGATTCCACTTATATATTTACATGTATGACAGCTTAAGTCTAAGCTAGTCATCATAGAAAGCAGTAATAGAAAAATGAGGGTGTTTTCTACTTTTTTTAAACACAAAATGCCCTGCCACTCAGCACATCATAGATTGAGCCAGCCCACTGGGCTGACCTGTGGACCTGGCACTGTGTAGGGGTGAGCAGGGGTATGCTGCTTCCATGCTCCACGAAATCACATGCACGTGAGTTTACTGAAGACAACCGCGTGGGCTGCCTAGGGTCTGCCAAGAGATTCTTCATGCCCAGGAGCATGCCAAGGACGGCCGCATGGCCTTACCTGGTCTGACCTGGATTAGAGGGCAAAGGCACTGCCCAGGAGTGGTTTTGACAGGCGCAGTGACAGCTGCATGATCAGGCATGTCAGGTACCTGTGCAAGGCTGGAAGGACCACTGCCCCTGCCCCAAGAGCCCTTACCTTCCGAGTACCCGCATGCCTGGGTCAGAGCCCGGCACTGCGCCAGCAGGGACGCATGGGACACCGTGACTCCCACCGTGCTGCCTTCTTTGCTGGTTTTATACTGAAAGGTTTCAAAAAAAAAAAAAAAAACAAAACATCTTGTGGTTATTTCTAGAGTCCATGGCAGATAGAATGGAGGTTGACAGAATCCTAAAAAGCAGCAGTATAACCAGGAGCGGTGGGGCACGCCCGTAGTCCCAGCTACTCCAGAGGCTGAGGCAGGAGGGGCGCTTGAGCCAAGGAGTTCGAGGCTAGCCTGGGCAACATAGCAAGACCCCATCATTAATAAAAAAAATAAATGAAGTGGTTAGTGTCTCCCCTTCACTAACCCTATGCCCTGGCCTGTGAGAGGACACTTCAGATGAAGATGAAGCTGTGGCTAACCCCAGCAGGGGACCACAGGCAACAGTGGTACAACAGTGTACCTGGCTCCATCCAACTGTTTGCACCCAATGGGGCCAGTTAGGAGAGAATTAGATGAGAGTGAAACCTGAAAGGATGTGAGTAGGATTCCATATGATACTTTGTATTTCTGGGACAGAGATGAAACAAAGAGAACTCAGCCTGAAATTAAAAAAAAAAAAAAAGCAGCTTATATGCTCATGAAAAACAAGACCTAAACTGGTGGGGTGTATTTTCTCATGCTCTGAGTTAGGAGTGGTCATTACCTCAATGTAGGCAGTCCCGGTGCCTGTGTCTTGGGCCAGAGGGTGCCAGTCCTTGGGGGGCTTGGCCAGATGCTTCCCATCAATCACCAGCCAGGACAGGGGCGGCCAACCTGTGACCAGGCAGACAGGACAGCACTACAGCGTCAGAGGGTCTCAGCTCCCCACACACAGAGCCTGCGCCGCCAACACGCAACTAGCTATTGAGATCTAAGGAGCTCAAAATTTAGTCTCATTTCATTTTATGTAATGTAAAAAGGTACATCTAGCCAGCGGCTACCATAATAGATGGCACAGGTTGAGGCACCCAACCCAGTGAGAATCAAGATTCAGGGAGGCCTTGAACAAGGAATCACTTTTGGTGAAGACCCTGCAGCCTCTCTACCACTGACTTTCTGGAACAGCATCGCTGGGGGCACGGTTGAACCAAGACTGTATCAGAACACTGGCGCCCTCTCCTCGGGAGGCCTCACCTTTGAAAGCTGCCACCTCTCCTGTCTGTGCCTTGGGCAGGCCTTTCTGACAAGCGTCTGTGGTCAGGGCCAGGGTGACTCCGCAGCTGCCCAGGAGAAACCCAACCTGCTGGCTGCCTGCGTCCTGCGGAAGACAGAGTGACAGGTGGGAACAGGTGCTCACAGGAGCCGCAGCCCCAGGCCCTCAGGGCTCCAGGCTATGCAGAGAACAGAGCTCTTTCTTTTCCACCCTCGTAAAACTTCTAGAACAATTTCAGTCCTATTATTGGTGTATATGTGATATTCATAGAAATAGCTCATGAAAACATAACAAGTATTTTTAAATTTGAAAAACATTTTTGGTTTGTTTTTGTGGTGAAATATAAAGTTGCGGATAATAGGCCAATTTCTCAAAGTTTATTCTTGCAAATGACATATAGAAGCATTTTAATAATAGCACTGAGATTTCTAATGAATCACATGTGAAATTTACAAATGAATCTTGGAGGCCTGACCTTTAACAATATTAATCATGTCTGTACAGAAATACATGCTTTCTTCTGGCTAAGTCTTCAGTTACATATGTCCCTCAGCAAAGTTTTGTCATTTTCTTCACATGACTCTGACAAATCTCTAGGTTTTTTTCCTCCTAAATATCACTGACTCCAAACACCTGCTCACCCTTTGAGATACACTGGTTTTGCCTGCGTATATGTGGAGATCGTTCACATTAACAACTGCCTGAATACCAGGACAGGATGACAGAAAACTCACTTTGTGAACACATGCCTAGTCTATACCTAAATGGTATCTTTTCAATAATCTCATTACCAATGCTCATTTTAGACCTAAAATGTTATAGCTACATAGAACATCAGTAAGTCCCCCACATTAATAATTTGTCAATAATGTAAGTAAATAGAAACATAAGAGAATTTCCATCTGTTTATTCAAAACAGTGAGCTCTATCACTGTAATGATAAATTTAACTCTAAGAAATGAAAATTATTATCAATAAACATATAGCTTTGATGAAATTTTAATAAAATCTTATTGAATCACTAATTCTATTCATTAAAGGAAAAAATGCCTATCATTTCTGTTAGGAAATTCAAATAGGTGCAAGAAACAGCTCCACCTAACAAGGTGGTCTCACTGCAGCAAAGCTGTTCCAGGTGCCCTCTCACCAACAGCACAAGAGAGTATCTGCAGACAACACGGCATCTGATTGCTCTCCTCAGTCCTGGCCTGCTTGCCTGCCTGCCATCATCTTCCTCCCCTCTGTTGAAACAGCCACTTTCTGTTGCCCAGGCCCCAGAGTGAAGCTACGGTGACAGGGAAGCCAAACACCACTGGCTGTCACAGTATTTGTGTGGGGCATGAGCCCCGGGTTTGCTACCTTTCTTGTCAATGGCACTTCAATGGGGACAGGAACCAGCTCTGCCAGGAGACACCCATAAAAAGCAACCATGAACATCACAGGGTCACTATTTGGGAACACGAGCGCCACCTACAATGGTACAAAGAAAAACATGAAATCTACTTGGGAATGGTTGAATCTTTTCAATATTCAGAATCTCTCACTCAGACATTATAGATTTTCTTATAGTTTTCCAAATTTAGTTCAGAAAACCTAATTTTGGAATTAATTCTTGGTCCTTAAATTTCCTTATTCATGTAATTTTTAATAAATAGTTTTTAGGTTGAAGTCTTCACTCCACATGCAACAAAATAATTTTAAACTTCTAGGTTTAGGCCATCCAGCCTGTGTCTGGCTGTGGGCTCTAGACCTGGTTCCCACCCACACTGGTATCACCTGGCCTCGATTAGCCTAGGTGAAAAATACATTTACCAACATAGAAAGTGAACAAGGAATCAAATTATATCTAAAATAATAGTTTCCAAAAGAAAAAATCCTAACGCCAAAGCTTTAATTGGACAGATCTTCACTCAAGACTTAAGTGCATCAGGGAAGCGTGGTGGGTGGAGAAGACCTCCACGGACACACCCAGGGCCTCCCGTGTCCCCACGGGGGTGCTGCTCCCTAGTCCACCACGCTGCCACTCTTTAAATTATAAGTTTTGCTTTATCTTATATTTTAATTATAAAAAATTAAAAAAAAGATTTAAAATGACAAAAGTATTAATGAAAAGCAACAACCCCATGCTCCACCCTTCCCCACTCCCCAAAGCAACCATTTTAAAAATATTTTAGAGCTTTCTTTTGTTATTTACTCTCATATTTTTAAAGTATTACTTTCCCATTGCTATATTTTGTTTTTAAAATTTTTAGTCCTCTACTTTACTTCCTGTTACTAGAGATGAATCTTCAGTCCTGTTTCTCTCCTCCCATCAGCCAGACTCCGTTTCTTACCATATCTGGTTAAATCAAAAGCTATTTATGTAATAAAATATTATAATAATTGTGCCTGAAATCTTAAGTGTTAAGTCAGAATAGTATTTAATTGAGTAGACTGTTAACACAGGAACTTTGAGAATATAGAATGATGGATAACCAATAACCCTTTCGAGACAAAATTTAAGATAGCTCATTTTGTACTTGAGGTCTAGAAATTGAGTTTCTAACAAGTATGTCCATTTTTCAAAGCTTTCAAGGACAAAGCTGTCCTTCAAACATTGTTTTTTATAGTGGTTGACCCAGAAATGTAACCTATAACCTTGAGACTAGATGTTTGATATGGAAAATATATTTTTTAGAGAATTTGTTATGAATAGTTGTATTCATTTGTATAAAGTATAATATCATAGGAAGTTGAATTTGCTACCAATCTCTGATAATTAATTCACTCACTGTGACCCTGTTGATCTTTTTACTATTAACCTTAACTACATGGGTTCTTTTGCACGTCAAGGAGTATCTGGAAGTCTTTGCCCTTGCAAGAGTATTTTTCAAGAAAAATAAATCAGTGATTCTTAGATTCACTCTAAAGCACAACATAAATCAGAGCATCTTACAGGCTCATTCTAAAGCACAACATAAAACCTCATCTATCAGCACAATATATCATAAACTATCGTTCTCATACTTTTTACCTTTTTATAGCCAAGTACGTTTCCTTTCTTTTCTGATGGTAACGGCTACCACCACTGTCACTTGCTTTGTTTTCTATGTATGTCCCAGCTAATCTGCACTAAAATGCTCCACCAGATGTATCAAATACCTAGCAATAATATTTTCCAAGTAACCAGTCAATCAGGTGAGCCCACCTGCTGCCAACCCCCCACCCCATCCCAGGGCCTCTGGCCTCCTGGTGCTGTCTGGGCTGCCCCTTGGCTGGTCATCTGTGGTCATCCTGGACTCCACTGTGGCTCTCCTGCTTGGACCCTGTTCACTCATTTGGCTGAAGCACATGCTCTAGGGACTTGCCAAGAAAGAGTGCTCGCAAACCGAAGTTTTTTGAGTCCTGCATGTCTGAAAATGGTTATGCCACCCTCACATTTGTTCAATCTCTGGCAATAGAACTATAGGTTAAAAATCATATTCCCTCTGAAGTTTTGAAGTATCACTCCACTCTCTTCCAGTTTCACTGCTGAGAAGTCCCGAAGCCACTGTGATTGCTGATTCTACTTTTATTGCCCTGAAAGGTTGGAGATTCTTCTTTGCACCCCAAGTGCTGTGTGTGATCCCACCGCACGCTCTGGTGTGGTCTGCGCACTCTGGGAATTTATGCTCTAGAGTCAGGACACTGCTACTTATCACGTTCTGCTTTCTGTCCTTTCTCCTCCCGGACTCCTGCCATCAGCTGGACATTAGGTCTTCCTGACCAAGTCTTTAATTTTGTCTTATTTTTTCTCCTACTTTGCACCACTTAGTCTTTCTTACCAGCATCCTTCTCTTGACCTATGGGACAACTTCATCTCAGATCTCTGGGGATACTAACTTTCAAAAAATTTGTTTTCTGTATCTACCTTTCCTCCAAGTTTATTTATTTCCTCTTCCCTCCCTCCCTTCCTTCCCTCCATCTTCCCTTTTCTTTTCTGTTCTTTTCTTTGCCTTTGGTTGTTTTCTTTCATACTGATGCTTCCTTCTCAATTGTCCTTGGCTCCTGGTGAGGCACTGAAAGAGCTCCTTGGGGCTGCCTGCCAGCTGTCAGACCCTGGCTTTCGTTGTTGCTGACCTGACACAGGTAACCTCTTCACTTGTACGTACACAGGTTTCCACCACATTCTCCTTTCTTCCACCCTGGACTTCCTAGTACACCTGGGCTCCTCCAGTCCGGTTCAGCTTGCCCACAGCAGTACTGTCCAACAGAACTTTCTAGGACGATGGAAATTTTCTAGCTGCATGTGGCTCCTGAGCTCTTGTAATGTGGTTTGTGTAAATGAGGAACTAAATTTTTAATTTTATTTAATTTTGGTTAATTTAAGTTTATCTCTTTCCCTATCCCACGTGGCTACTGCCAACTCTACAGGGCCGTGTAGCACAAGGGAATCAGCCTACAGTTCCTTTTGTGTTTTACGTGGCAGGCAGATCAGAGGAGCTGCCTGGACACATGAAACAGGGAAGGAGATGAATACCAAGCACATGGACCTTCAAAGTTGGGCCAATGTTAATTCATAAAATGTAAGTTTTGGAAATTTAACATTTATGAATATCAACATATGTGAAGTCAAACAGAAAAGAAGATGCAGAATCAGTGGACAATGACAGAATAAGAACAATCATTTTACTCTGTATCACAAACTTTCCCCATACTTAATGTTTTTTAATGCTTTCTATTAAATGCTGACTTTAAATGCCTTGTATTAATGCTTGATTCTAACCAACTGACAGAACACTGATTTCAATGAAACAGGTTTTTAAAGTCTCTGTTTTTGCTTACTCCAATAAAGCACATTCTAGTTACTTACTCTGTCTCCAGGTTTAAGTAGTGGTTCATTCTTACTAGTCAGTTTATTAAGTAGAGTATAAGCTAGTTTTAAACTCCGACTCCAAAGTTTGCCTAAAATAAAATAAAAATACTAAGCAATGTAAAATTTATGAAATAATTAACATTTTAATGTAGCAATCATAAAGCCTCATAACATACCATTACCCTGTTACTGGAGATTCAGGTAATTTCCAACTAATAACTATTCTGCACAATGCTGTGATGAACATTATAGTATTCTCTTAAAAATAACTGACAGATTTTTCTTAATACAAAAATAAAGCAGGATTTCACTATAGAAAATTTGGAATATAGAAAATCCAGAAGAAAAAAACCAATATTCTATATATATGTGTATATGTGTGTACATATACATACACACATGCATATATACATGTATGTGTAATTTTCAAGAAATGTGATACTTCACCCAGCTATTTTCAATTAACATTGCACTGTGAATGCATTTTTATGACATTAGATATCCCTCAATTACATCACTTATAAGAATGGCGCATAATTCACTTAATCTTTACAACAATTCATGAGTAGGTCACATCTTTGTCTCTGTTCATTACTCTAGAGAGCCACTGGCTGCTGGAGCAGTGCGTGTGGACCTCACCCCGGGTCCAGAGCCCAGGAGCCAGGCCTTTTTGCCCTGTGAGGTCCCTCCTGCCACATGTCCCCCTGGTGCACAGCCCTGGTGAGCACGCAGCTAAGAGAGCTTTGCTGAGGAAGGCAGGAGGTGAGACGGAGGACAAGTCCAGAGGACTAGGATATCTAGGGAGGTAACAGAGAAGGGCGTGTAACAGGCCAGGAGGACTGAAACACCTGAGTCCCTCCCCAACCCCTCGAGCAGCCGTAATATCCCCTACACAGTCTCTCAGAGATGCAACGGTCATCACTCAGCCCCTCTCCAGCTCCTGTGGCACAACCACAACAAGGCTGGGCACCCCTGCCCTCCAGATGAATGCACAAATGCCACTGTGATAAATAAAACTCAGGTGTAACACTGTGAAACAGTGAACTGTGGGACCTGAGAAATAAATAAGAAAAAAAAATCAACTCAAAATAGTTTTAGCCTCTTCTAAAAGGTTAATTCAAGATGATAATAACTGTAATACATAAAGATTCCCAAACTGAATCCAGCTATGTATACAAAGAATAATGCCTCATGACCAACCCAGTTTATCCTGGGAATAAATGCAAAGAGGTTTACCAGAAAATCAACCTAATTTGCCACATTAACAGAATAAAGGTGAAAAATAAAACAATCACCTCGATAAATTGCAGTAAATTGAAGAAATTTAACAATCACCCATGATTTTAAAATGATTATAAATGATTTTTCAAAATCCTTCTTAAGCTCAGATGAAAGGAAGCACACTTCCTTAGTGTAACAAAGGGCGTCTTTAAAAACTCCAGCAGGAGACACCATAATTAATGGGCAGATATTGAATGCTTTCCCTCTGAAAACAGAAGCAAGCCAAGGACATCTCTTTTCAACATTTTACTCAAAGTTCTAATCAGTGCAAAACGGGGAGAAAATAGATAAAATGGATGGAAATAGAACTGTTGTTATTTGCAGTTAACATGATAGTATATACCTTACTGCACCTTCTGTAACTGAATTTAGCAAGGCTGGTAAATAATCAACATACAAACTCCGTTTGATGTCTACATTCTAGCAATAAGAGCAAGTAAAATTTTTTGATGATACTATTGACAATGAGACTAAAATACACACACTAAATACCTATGAATAAGTGTCACAAGAAATAGGCAAAGTCTCCTCACAGAAACCATAAAATATTACTGAGATAAAGTAAAAAGATTTGAATGGATGGAGGGAGACATTGTGTCCGTGGGCTGGAATGCTCAACATGCAAAGGTGTTAATTCTCCTTACACTGATTCAAAGCAATGCTAATCGAAATCTCAACAGGTACGTTGTGGCACTTGACAAGCTAATTCTAAAAGTAACCTGAAATACACAGGGCAAGAATAGCTAAGACACTCTTTTTCATACCATCCCACACCATACACAAAATGCATTCCAGGTAGACAGCAGATCTAAATGCAAAGGGTGAAACAATACCACTTTCCCAAATTAACAGAGTAACTTCATGATCTCGGCCTAGGGAAAGTGTCCTAAAGGGAACACAAAATGCACAAGTCATAAAAGCAAAGAAGGTGAGAGTGGACGCAGCTTCTGTTCACTAAGCTACCATCGCAGAGTGAAGAGCCAGCCACATGGCAGGGAAAACAGCTGCAGCACGCCCCTGAAAAGGACTGGCCACCAGAACTGGAAATCAGCTAAAATTAATCAGCCTGACAATGCCAAGTTCTCACAACGTTGGGAGCAGGTGGGATGCAGCACTGATGGGGTGAGCACAGACTGGAAACGTGTGGCGTTACCTCCCAGTCACCATAAAGATACGACCCCAGACCAAGCTTCAACTCCTGAGTACTCAGCCTTCAAAACCTTATGCTAGGTCTTCCTAGGAGCACTGCTTCTAAGAGCATAGCCTGGAAACAACCCAAATGTCCACCAACGGTATGAAGGATAAGGAAATCCCGGTCTATTCATCCTGCGATAGCAATGAATGAACCACAGCCATTGACGTGAATGAATTTTAAAAGCATAACAGTAACAGACTCTGCTGCCACAGATCAGCACTCCCACCTGAAATCAGTTTACAAACAGAACGCATGAACCATCTGCTGGAGGCAGCAAAGACAACTAGAGGAGTTGGGCTCCAGAAAGGGAAAACCCTCAGGGAGCTCAGCTGACTGGGCACAGGTATCTTCACACTTGGGTATTCATAGGCTCCAGCCCCCACGGGGGGCCCTGTGCTGCCCCTGCAGGAGGAACCCACAGAGCTTTCATCAGAGACGGGGAGCCCCAAGAGCACAGTCACCTCCCCTCGTTATATGCGCTGAATGCTCAGGCTGTATGCAGCAGAAGACTGGAAACCCTGCAGGAAATCTCTGAAAAGCAGAGTGGAGTTCTGAAACTGCCATGAGACCAACACCAAGGCTGGGAACCCATGAAGGACAGGGACACATGGATACCCCGAGCCTGGGTGGAAAGCTCTGGAGAGCCAGAAGAGCAGAGGTGGTGGGGCCAGCCCTGGTGGACTACAGTAACAGTCCCCACTCTACTCTCCTAGGGAAGATGGCATGGTCTGGACCCTCCATAATGTGTTTACACACAACACACAATATTCAGTCAAAAAATACTAGGCATCCCCAGAGAGAAGTTCCCCTGACCTAAACCAAGAGAAATCACAGATAACAGCAACAGACCCAAAGGTGACCAGACACTGGAGCTGCCTCACAAAGACTTTCAATTACAATAATTACTGAGTGCACTCAAGGCAACAAAGGAACAGGTGAGGAAAACACACGGGATGATGAAGAACTTTCCCCCAGAGAACTAGAATAGTAATTAGAAGAGAACTTGCCAGGAGTTCCACAGACTAGAAATTTTAGAAGACAGGATTAGGGAATTTGAATAAAGGAAAATGGAAAATATTCAAACTGAAATATATATATAGAAAAAGAATGCAAAATATAAGAGAGAACATTAAAGGCATGTGAGACTCAGATAAAAGGTATAATGTAAGTGTAACTGGAGTCCCAGAAAGAGAGAAGAAAAAAATTGGGGAAGAAGCAATATATCAAGAGATGATGGCTGTAGTTTTCTAAAACTGGTGAAAGATGCCATCTTACAGATTCAAGAAGCCCAGTGGACTTGTGGAAAATTTCAAAGAACATCACAGGAAAATTTCAAAGAATACCACATCTAAATATGTCATAGAAAAACAGCTGTGAGCCAAAGAAAAAGAACTTTTTAAAAGCAGCTAGAAAAAAAAAAGACATAATACAGTCAAAAGGACACCAATAGTCTGCTATCTTCTCAAAAGCCAATAACGATATATTTGTATAGCTGAAAGAGGATAAATAACCACCATATATAACCTTCAAAAATGAAGATGAAATAAATTGTTGTCAGACAAGTACTGACAGACTTCTTCACCAGCAAACCTACTATATAACAAACATACAGGAAGTTCTGCAGGCCAAAAGGAAATGATTACACAGGAAAATGTAGGATTGCGGGAAGGAAAGTAAATTAAAACAAACAAAATGTATGACTGAGTTTTAAAAAACAGTGGCAGTAATATCTTACGCTGTGTAATAAATACAGACTTAAACTACAAGACAAGAAGGATGCAAAAAAAGAGAAAGTGTGTCATAGGCTGGGTTCTTCAAGAAGCAGACACTGAGACAGATTTAGACACACAAAAGGGTTACTAGAGAATAAAACCTGTGAAGGGAAAAAGGAGTAGCAAGATTGTGCAGGAGCTGTCAAACCACAATGTGGATCTGAGAAAGTCTCTGCAAGCCCAAGACTGTTTACAAGGAAAGTGCTGCTGAGCAGATATGACCAGGCCCTTGCACCACCACCTTGCTTAGTTACTAGCCAGGGGCTGCCCCACCAAGAGCATGACCTAGACTTGAGAGCTGAAATTTAACAGGTGGAGGCTGTGAGCTAACCACATTCCTTGATGGTGGGCAATGAGTTCCTTTACTAAGGAATTATAACTAATGATAAGCTATCATAGCCAAGTGGACTTTATTCCAGGAATGCAGGGGTGCTTAACATTTGAAAATTAATCAATGTAATTCAAATTAACAGAGGAGGGGAAAGGAAAAACCACATTATCATCTTGCTAGAGCAGAAAAAGCATTTGACAAAATTCAGTCCCAACCATGATAAAAACTTTTAGCAAACAAGGAACAGAAGGGAACTTTCTTAATCTAACAAAGAATTTCTACCCAAAAACAAGCAAACAAAACTACAGAAAGCATCATACCTAATTACCAAAGGCTTTTCCTCAGATGGAGAAAGAGGCAAGAACGCCCACTCTTCAACACTGCTCTAGTCAACACTGTGCTGGAGGTGCTAGCTTGTGCAGAAAGGCAAGAGAAAGAATAAAGGTGTGAGCATTGGAAAGGTCAAAATAACAACTGTCATTGGTCACAGATGACATGATTTTTGTACACAGGAAATCTAAAAGATATATGAACAAACTACTAATTAACGAACAAACGTTAGCAAGATCACTGGATACAAAGTCACTATTTTAAAAATCAATTGCACTTCTATATACAAAAGTAAATTCTGTATAAAAATTATATTGTTTACAGTAGAATAAATCTCATGAAAAATGCTCAAGACTTTTTTACTCAAAAGTATAGATAAATAGCCAGGCACAGTGGCTCACACCTGTAATCCCAGCTATTCAGGATTGCTTGAGCCCAGGAGTCCCAGACAACTCTGGGCAACACAGCAAGACCCCATCTCTAAAAAAGAAACAAACAAACAAAAAAGAGTATAAAAACATTACTGAGAGAAATGAAGGCAGGCCTTTAAGAAGGGGAAAATATTCCATAGTCATAAAATGGAAAGTTCCAAAATAAGACAAGACAATTATAATATAGGTTGATTATTCCTTATCTGAAATGCTTGGGAACAGAAAGAAGTATTTGAAATTTTGAATTCTTTTGGATTCTGGAATATTTGCATTATATATACTTACTAGTTGAGCATCCCAAATCAAAAACTTGTAAATCCAAAGCTCCAATGAGCACTTCATTTGGGCAGCATGTCTGTATTCAAGAAGTTTCAATTTTTGAAGCATTTTGGATTTTGGGATGCTCAACATGTAATATCAATTCTCTTCAAATTGAACTATAGATTCAATGCCATGCTAATCAATATCCCAGTAGGAATTTTGATGGAAATTGATAAGTTGATTCTCAAGTTTACTTGAAAATACAAGGGCCAAGAACAGTCAAGGCAATCTTCAGAAACAATCACAGAGCTAGAGGACTCATGAAGCTACAGTAATTCAGAGTGGACAGACACAGACTGAGTAACAGGAGCCCAGAGCCCACAAGAATGTTTTTCACCTGATATATGAAAAAGTAACACTGTAATGCTTTGGGAAAGGATTGCCTTTTCAGTAAATGATACTGAGTCAATTAGATATTCATAAAGTAAGAAAATGACTCTAACTTCACACTATACACAAAATCAAATACTATCAGGGGTGGGAAACCTGCTGCCCTGGGGCCACAGGTGGCCTTCTGGATCCTTGGGTGAAGCCTTTTGACTGAATCCAAATTGTATAGAACAAGGGATTTGTTCTGCAAAGTCTGTATTCAGTAGAGGGGCCGCACTCAGGGATCTAGAGGCCACATGTGGCCTTGAGGCCGCAGGTTCCCCACCCCTGTTAGATATATCATAATACCTAAATGTGAAAAGTAAAACAATAAAGTTTTTAGAAGAATGTCAGAGGCTATCTTTCTATCTTAAGGTTGGCAAAGAGTTTCTAAACTGGACAAAAAATTAACCACAATCAAGGGAAAAAAACAGATAAATTAGACTAAATTACATTAGGACTTTTCCTTCATCAAAAGCCACAGTGAAAAGTGTTAAAAGGCAATCCAAACAGGGAGAGGATATTTGCAAAACATGAATCTGACAAAAGATATGTATCTGAAATATATAAAGAAATAAAATATTAGCAAGCAAATAGAAAAATGAGGCAAAGACTTGAATAGTTCATAAAAGAGGACATTCAAATAGCCAATAAGCATATGAATAGCATCATCAGTCATCAGGCAAACGCAAATTAGAACCATAACCTGACACTGCAACATGCTTACAAGAAAGACTAACATGAAATAAACGGACAGCTTCAAGAGCTGGTGAGAAATCGGAACAACTGGAACTCTCTATACTCTGCTTGTGGAAGTGAAAACGCTGCAACCCCTTGGGAAAGCTGCTTGACAGCATGTCCTGAAGAATAACTACACTGCTGTTTACACCCAGCACAAATGCCCACGTAAGCTTACCAAGAGACTCACACAGCAATGTTCATGACAGCACTATACACAATAGCCCCAAAGTGGAAGCAACCAATGTTGTCTATCTACTGGAGAGTACGTAAATAAGTTCTGGAATACTTATACAATAAAATAATATCCATTGATGAGAATAAACTAATTACTACTTCATACAACAATGGATGAGAATAAACTAATTACTATTTCATACAACAATGGAAGAGTCTACATGTTGAGTAAATGAAGAGAAACACACAAAAAAATACTTTTTATATAATCCTGTTTAGATAAAATTTAAAAACAGGTAAAGCCAGTGGTGTGAGTAGTCAGGACAATGGTTACCCTGTGTGTGTAGGAAGATGTCCGTGCTGGAAGGGGCATGAAATGAGGAGACGGGGACCGGGCAACACTTTTGCTCTAAGCACTCCTTATAGGAGTGTATTCGCTCTGTGAAATGCATCAAGCTGTGTACATGCTTACAGTTTGTGTTCCATAAAAACAACATGGAACCGAAAGATGCCAAACACAAAAAAATACATAATTGTATGATTCCATTTATGCAAAGTTCAAATTAAGACAAAACTAAACTACATTGTTCAGAATGCATCTATGGAAGACTCAAAACACTCAAACACTCAACACCCAAGCAGTGACAGTCACCGTGAATAGAGACCAGTCCTCTCTGGTGGGGTGGGAGGGAGGGACACCCAGAGTGAGGTAATATTCTATTTATCTGCCAGTGGTGTTGGTTTCTCAGGAATCTGGTTTACAGTACTTATCAAGCTACATGTCTGTATTGTATACTGTGCCATATTTCACAGTTAAACCAGAAGCACATTGTTTCTGTCACTACTTGCCGTAGGTGAGAGTGCAGATGGCCTTTCCGGTCGTGTCCAGGGCAGTCAGGCAGGGGGCTCTGGGCTGTGTGGTGCCCCACCGCTGCAAGGCGGCCAGCAGTGACGGAGGCCAGGGACCCCCCGCAGCCAGGGGCTCCCCTTGCAGCACTGCCATCTGATTTCCCTCAGGCTTGGGCTGATTTGGATCTGGTTGCTGAACTATGAGCAAAATCAAAATTTAAAAATCAGTATTTCAGAATACCATGCATATAATCTGTTTTTAAGCATTCATATTTTATAATTCTGTTTTTTAATTCCAACTATAAAAAGCTTACAATAATTTGGTTAGATTTTTTTTTTATCTTATCATAATTACAAACCAATTAACCAAAGGACTAAAGTCATAGATAATAATGGTTTTGAAATGAGGTTAGTAACAACCCACCATCCTGCTAACCACAGCCTCACATGATAAAGGAAACCCCAAGATGGTGTTTCTCCCATCCTCTGGACTGGACTGTGGCACCTTTAATGCTCACAACCCCAGTACAGCAGCAGTTAACAGCCGGGGGACGGGACCTAGTGACCTGTTCACACAGGATCACAGACAGCAGAACCACTTCAGTCTAGGCACCAGAACAACTGTCGCCATGTTGAAAGAAAAAGTAAAGTCTACTTCCAGTGGTTATATAACTAAAAGGTGCTGAAGCACTAAGAGAGACTGCTCTAAGAAGCATTCATACCATTGAACTCTGAATTTGAAAGGCACTGTCTGATTAAAGAGAGGAAACAGCATCCTAAAGCCATGTCTAGTCCTCAGGTATGGAGGACGCTGGGTCAATCTGCCACAGCAACCCTCCGCAAGAGGCCTGGGGCTGGCGTGGGCTCTGAGGCTCTGCCAACACACTCGAATGCTGTACTGATTTGTTTCTGGTTTATACTCCTTTCTGCTTCTTGCTAGTTTTCTTTTTAAAAAATAAATCCATATACTTTCTTTCTAACTATACTTTTCATTCATAAATGAAAGGCTAAGATTCTAAAAAGGGGCCAAATCTATGCTGAAAATTGAATACTTTAAAACCATGAGAAGACAAGAATTTCAGATTTAAAAGTTTAAATAAAAATTTAAATAATATAACCTTAGAAGTGTTTGTTTTTTTTTTTTTGAGACAGTGTCTCACTCTGTTGCCTGGGCTACAGTGCCATGGCGTCAGCCTAGCTCATAGCAACTTCAAACTCCTGGGTTCAAGCGATCCTCCTGCCTCAGCCTCCTGAGTAGCTGGGACTACAAGTATGTGCCACCATGCCCAACTAATTCTTTTCTATATATTTTTAGTTGGCCAATTAATTTATTTCTATTTTTAGTAGAGGCTGGGTCTCACTCTTGCTCTGGCTGGTTTCGAACTCCTGACCTTGAGCAATCCTCTCGCCTCTGCCTTCCAGAGTGCTAGGATTACAGGCGTGAGCCACCTCGCCCGGCTTAGAAGTATTTTTATGAAGTATTTTTATGAATCAACCACTGGACCTGATGCCTAGAGAAATGCTAAATCACTTTAATATGAGCAACAGATTTTCTACCTGCTCAAATGAAGCAAGTAATCCTGTTATTCTAAATTCACAATTACAGAGTGACCAGAGAGTCTGGAAACAGAGTATATTACTTCATTGTGTGACAGGTAACATGATGGCAATAACCCACACACGATGCACATTTGCCTGTGTGTTTCCGGACTTCACAGCCACCCTGCTCACGCAAAACAAAAGCTCAAAGTCAGACAGACAACTCTTACCTTCCAATAGTTCCTCAAAATCATCCACAAAGAACTCCTTCAGAGGAGGGCGCTTTGGCCTCTTTAAGGTGTTTAGAAGCTGCTGGATCTTGGAGGACACTCTACTGTTCACGGGGACACCTGTTACAGGAAGGACAGAAGAACACTGAGTCCAGGATGCATCACACCCTCTGGAGAAGTGGACACAGGCACAAGGCCTGAGGACAAACTGCACGAGTGCAGCAGAATGCACAGATCCAGCCAGGTGCCAGCTCCATCAAAGAGTCATTTTGGAATTAATTCATTTAATGGCATTTATTGAATGACTTCTAGGAAGTAGGACTTGTTCTAAGCTAGCAGTATTTAAAGTGGTCTGGGGACCCCAGGAGTGCCCAAGGCCCTTCTATGGGAGCTCATGGGGTCCAGACCATTCCATGATAATGCTGAGATGTCATCTGCCTTTTTTCAGATGCTTATGTCACGCCTGCCAGAAGAGAGACTGGCAGCCAATTCATCAATAAAGCTTGCTTCAATAAAGCAAGCCAATTCATCTCACTAAATATTTGCTGTTTGGGAAATTTTTTGGTAAGTATACATTATTTATGTTAACATGTAATGAATTTGTTTTTATTTTTTATTTTATTAGAGACAGAGTCTCACTCTGTCATCCAGGCTAGAGTGCAGTGTCATCATCACAGCTCACAGCAACTTCAAACTCCTGGGCTCAAGTGATCCTCCTGCCTCGGCCTCCTGAGCAGCTGGGACCTCAGGCCAGACAGCCACACCCAGATAATTTTTGTATTTTTTGTAGAGATGGGGTCTTGCTGTTGCTCCTGCTGGTCTCAAACTCCTGACCTCAAGCGATCTCATCTCAGCTTCCCAGAGTGCTGGGATTATAGGCGTGAACCACTGTGCCTGGTCTTGTTATTTTTAAATGTATTAATAAATATTTTTTAAAATTTAGTTTTAATTTCTAATTGGTAAATATCAAGAAGACCCACACAAACTAAAAGCTCTTTGTCCTCAGTAATTATTAAGAAACATTGTTCTGGGAAATGGAAAGTCAGCAAACAAGATAGATAAGAGTCTGCCCTGAAACAGTTCACCATTTGTTGAGTGAAACAAGCAAAAACCCTGTAGGGAGCACTGCTGTAGAGGAGCCCGGCCCCTGAGCACACCCACCTGCAGGTAGGGAAGGTTCACGCACCCACCACCTGCTGCGAGGGGGCAAGTGACACCATAATATCCTCTCACAGCGTTTTTCCCTCTAGTAAAGACGTCAGTCTAGAATCAAGTACTGACACCCTTTTAGTCCCCTTTAATGTGGAACATTCCCATAGCCATTCTTTGTCCTTTATGACCTCGACATTTTGAAAGTACAGTTCTTGTCTTTTTCATTAAGTAGAATGCACCTCACTGTGAGTTTGCTTAAGAGCTGCATTCCCAGCTGGAACACTACCAGAATATCATGTCCAGAAACACGTGATGTCACCTGCCTTGCTGCAAAGCTGATTTCAGCCCCAAAGTGTTGTCTGATTTCTCCACTGTATTGTCACTGTTTTTTTCTGTGTAACTAATAAGCAATGTGTGAGGATATATTTCAAGACCACGTGACTATCCTGATCCTCATCAAACTTTCTCTCTGAATTTTACAGCCATCGATCATTCCTGCCAGAACCGATTTGTACTGCGATTGTCCCAAAATAATTGTCCAACTCCAGCACTCTATTTACATTTTCCAGTCAGCACTTGGCATTCTTATCTAGCCATCCATCTGCAAGGACTTATAGATTGCTGCCATGGCAACTTTTTATAAGTCATTATGATTCTTTACTATTTTGATGCACAAATTGTCCCAGATTTAGGCAGTGGGTGCTCCTGCAAGTTGACAGGTGACATGCCCCACACCTCATCCTTTTTTTTAAAGCACTGCCTGAAATCTGTCATAATGTAAAGAAAATGTTTCAGAGTCATTTTACGCTACACTGTCCCTTCCCTAGAATCAACCATTTCTCCAAGGAACCCTAGTCTTCTGAGGGGAGAAAGGTACTGAAGATGAAGGTGCAGGCACTGTGTGTGCTCCTGGCTACTGCAACGTCTATGCTTTGTTTAGCAGACAGAGCTAAAAAGTATACACACATATAATACACACACACACTCACACACTCACACATATACACACACTCCTACCTATGCAATATACATGTGCACGCAGGTAAGCATAAACAGACTCATATTCACATATCAGAAAGCATGGGTCCACACCCATACTTCCAACCTCAGTCTGCCCATGGGTCCTCTCTTGCCACCCCCATTCACGTCCACAGTGAGAACCCTGGCTCCCACCAACATCAGTTTCCCCTCAAAGAGAATAAGCTATTTTACATTCCCACCAATAATGGATAGTTCTCTAACTATGAAAAAGGTTGAACATTTTATATAAGAGATACCTTTACATGTCTTTTTGTGAACTATCAGTTCACGGGTTTTTTTGCCTTTCCCCCCCTTTACCAGGAATCAGCAAACCTTTTCTTAAAGGGCTAGATGGTATATATTTTTGTCTCGCGGATCACACGATATCTGTCACAACTACTCAACTCTGCCACTGCGGCATGAAAGCAGTCACAGAAGATATGTGAAAGGTGGCATGGCTGTGTTCCGTTAAAACTTTATTCACAAAAACAGGCTGCCAGTCCATGAGACTAGTTTGCTGACCCTGATCCATCTGATTTGGGGTATTTTCCCCTTGTTTTTTTTTTTTCAGAGACAGAGTCTCACTCTGTTGCCCGTGATTGAGAATCATTGGCGTCAGCCTACCTCACAGCAACCTTAAATTCCTGGGCTGAAGCAATCCTTTTGCCTCAGCCTCTCGACTAGCTGGGACTACAGGCATGCGCCACTATTCTCGGCTAACTTTTTTTTATATATTTTTAGTTGGCCAGCTAATTTCTTTCTATTTTTAGTAGAGATGGAATCTTGCTCTTGCTCAAGCTGGTCTTGAACTCCTGAGCGCAAGCAATCCACCTGCCTTAGCCTCCCAGAGTACTAGGATTACAGCTGTGAGCCACCACACCTGGCCTGGCTTTCTTGATGGTATTATTTTACCATGCAAAAGATTATTTCATGTAATCAAATTCATCTAGCTTTTCTTTTATTGCATGCAGATTTTTATTCATATTTTAAAGTTTTTGCCTATAACAAGGTTAAAGAACAATTCGCCAATTTTTTCCTTCTATTCTTCATTCCTTACATTTAGATATCTGATTCATTTGGAGTTTTTCCTTGTCACCGTGTAAGAAAAGAATGTAATTTTAACTTTTTCTGAAAAGCTTCCCTCCCAATAACATTTATTAAAATGCCATCTTTGCCACACTGAGGTAGAGGTAGTATATTATTTGAAGGCATGCAGTGATGAGATGAAGATGCATACTGCAAATCCTACTGCAAGCACTAAAAAATAGCAGAGCGAAATAGATTGCAAAGAAAATTTAAATCAATAGAAGGCAGAAAAAGTGGAGGGGAAAGTTAAGGAAATTAACAGATGGGTGAAATAAAAATGTATACATATTTTAAGTGAGAGTGGGAGACAGAGAAAACAAATATAACAGGGTCATAGATGTAAACCCAACAGTATCACTAATTACACTGACATAAATGGCTCAAACATTCTAATGAAAAGGCAAAGACTGCTTAAAGTAAGAATGAATAAAATGATAAACATAAGAAACATTTTAAATTATAAAGACAGGTACAATAAAAATAAAAGGATGAAAAGATTTACATGTAAACACTACTCATAAAATAGTTGAAGATACTAAAATAATGTCGAAGATTTCAGAACAAGAAATATCACCAAGAAAAATTCTATAATAATGAAAGGGTCAATTCATTAAGACATAATAATCTTAAATAGGTATAAGCCTCATAACACAACTTCAAAATACATGAACAAAAACTGACAGACTAAATGAACAAACTGACAAATCCACAATTATAGCTAGAAACTCCAACACCTGTCTCGTGTAGACAGAAAATCAATAAGGATAGAGAAGACTGAAACTAAAGTAACAACCAAGTAGCTATAACTGTCATTTATTTTTAAAAATCAACCCACAAACAACAGAATAAACATTATTTTCAAGTGAACTCTCACCAAAATAGACCATGTGCTGGTCTATATAATATATATGTATAAAAAGTTTTAATAAATTTAAAAGAGGATAAATTATATATATAACAAACATATCTGAATATTTGGAAATCTGTTGAAATTAAATAATACACTTCTAAAAAAGATGGGTCAAAATTGAAAGCATAAAGGAAATTTTTTAAAATCTGGAACTGAATATTAAAAATGAAAAGAATGTATCAAAATATGTGAAATGCAGTTAAAACTAGAATTTAGAAGGATATTTAAAGTTTTAAATACTTATGTTAGGAAACAAGAAAGGTCTAGACCCAATGACCTAAGAATCACCTTAAGAAACTAGAAAAAGTGCTAGGCACAGTGGTGCATGCCTGTAGACCCAGCTACTCAGGAGGCTGAGGCAGAAGGATCACTTGAGCCCGGGAGTTTGAGGTTGCAGTGAGCTGTGATCATGCTGCTGCACTCCTGCCTGGGTGACAGACTCCTGCCTGTCTGTTTAAAAAAAAAAAAAAAAAAAAAAATCAATGTGGAACCTAAATGAAATGGACAAATTCCTAGAAACACAAAATATACCAAGACTAAGTCACAAAGAAATAGAAAATCTGAGTAGACCCATATAGCTAATTAAGAGACTGAACAGTAATCAAATCTCTCTCTCTCTCTTTTTTTTTTTTTCTTTGAGACAGAGTCTCACTCTGTTGCCTGGGCTAGAGTACTGTGGCATCAGCCTAGCTCACAGCAACCTCAAACTCCTGGGCTTAAGGAATCCTTCTGCCTCAGCCTCCCGACTAGCTGGGACTACAGGCATGCACCACCATACCCTGCCAATTTTTTCTTCTATATATTTTTAGTTGTCCAGCTAATTTCTTTCTATGTTTAGTACAGACAGGGTCTCACTCTTGCTCAAACTGGTCTTAAACTCTTGGGCTCAAACAATCCTCCAGCCTCAGCCTCCCAGAGTGCTGGGATTACAGGCGTGAGCCACAGCGCCCAG